GGGGGTGTCCCACGTCGGATACGGGTTGAGGCGGCGCCGGAGACTTCTCATGGGGCATTCCAGGCTGGTGGTCCCGGCATCATGGTTCCTGTTCTACACGTGTACCGGCCTGTCTCCAAGACCAGATTGACTAGACAACCAAGAGTCGAACTCTAAAGCAGGCTCAACCAGTCAAGCCAATTCGGCACCAGATCTCGTCAACCTGCACAGCAGAAACGAGTTCGTCCCGTTGTTGCGCCGTGAATCGCGGCGCTGCACTATGCTTGTTTCAGCTTCTGTCACTGAGCACCGGCCATTTTTTTCACTTTCTACAGCTTCAACGTATGAAGTCCAGACAGATGGTCGGCCTAGGTGGCGACGGAGCGGACTCTGCATAGGCCTACAGTAATAGAGCAGTAGAGCAACATGAACAACACTCGGCTGCCTTGAGAGCAGGCGCAGGTGTGGACAAGGGTCTTTTCTGACCGGTCTGTCAGCAGCTGCATCATTGAGCGCTTTCTCTTCTCTCGCCCAAGTTCCCGTTCAACAGAGTCCGTCGCCGCAATTGCCAAGCCACCATGCACCGAAAGACCCGATCATGACAGGGGTGGGGGGGGCTACGAGAAGGAAATTGTCAAGGAAGGCCTGGGGCCGCTGAGACTCGGCTTATTGTCTGCTCATCTTTTTGTAGCGAGCAGCAGCAGCTGACGGACGACCACGACAGGCCAAGCTTCGTCGTCATACCACGACAACTTCTGAAGGTGGGAACTGCGCTCGTCGCCAAGATATCGTCGTCTTACGCGGGGCCATTCCGATATTTCAGGGTTCCGAAGGTCACGCAGTACGGCGTCCATAGGGCCACGGGTGATCAATCCCGCAACAACTCGGCCACCACCACCACCACCACCCCAGTTCCTGCATCGCAGCGGTTCCACGACGTCCTCGTATTTCACGCCCGGCCGACGGGTTCCCAGAGACTTTGGATGATCACCATTGAGATAGGGACTCCAGAGACCCAGCTGCGAGCCAGTCGCAGTCAGCGGTTGGGCCTTGGCACACGTCCCTGATGCATGGAGAGGTCAACTTTTTGAGAGAGAGACAGAGAGAGATCGAACATCGGGCCCTCTTGCCCAGCTACTCAGCTCCGTTGGTTGTCGTCTTACCACACCGGCCAGGGGGTCGTCTTCTTCTCCTTTGCCCACTCCCGTTGCCAACCTCGCGCGCGTGTGCGAGAGACTGTGAGCTGCTTGTGCTAAGCGCTCCCTCCGAATTCCGCTCCAGGCAGACGGACGGACAAACAAACTTGCACTAGCACGATCTAACTAGCTTAGCGCAGACCCCTACTGGGAAGCGACGTCGAGATAATCGGCGGGACGATCTATGGTTATCCGCGAGAGTGGAGTGGCCGGCAGGCATTCGGATCCCCAGCCTCCACGCTCCGCGGACCATGCCTGGTATTCCTGGAAACCCGGGAGACGCTTGACGCCCTACCTATGGGCAATTCAGCAACGCGAGAGAGCCTTGCTCGGGGAAATCTCCCGTCTTTGCTCTTGCCGGATCACCTCAGCATCAGCAGTGCCGCGCCACAATGCGACCGTCTGTGTTGTTGCTGCTGCTGCTGCTGCTGCCTCTTGTCGCTTCCTCTCGGGCCGCCGTATGCTCTCCATCTGCAGATGCACAAGCAAGCACAAGCCTTTCTTCTGCGACGAGGTCCTGGTTCCCGTGCTGCGACGAAAGGGGATGTCTTGGAGGGGGAATCCTCTCGTTCCAGCATCAGAAACACGTTCTGGATCTTTTTTCGTCGATGAAGCGCACCACATTTTGTCCATTTTGGCGTTCTTTTCTTCTCCTGGATGGGGGGGGGAAAACCCCCAGCCTCGAAAGACTAGTTGCGCGGCGTTTGTCCCGCAACGGCGCCCCAATAGCTTCGCGACCAAGGCAAGACAAGCTCCAAAGGTCCATCCCGAGACAGTATCGAGCGGCGCCTGTGGCTGACTCCTCCCCGTTTACCTTTGGCTGTACCCTGGCTCGTCGTGGGCGCCGACATCTTGCACACCAGCCCACCGTTTTGCCTGGCACCGTTCGCACCCACTCCAGCCATCCCAGAACGTACTGCCTAACCAACCTTGTGGGTGAAGGGGGGGGTTCCCCTCCTCTGCTACATGGATGACATGGCGGCGTCTGGTTGTGCCGCGGTTCGGGCGATAGCGACAGGTGCATTTCTTAAACGGAATCCTGGTCGAGCATGACAGAATGACAGAATGACATCTCGCGCCAGCGCTCGAGCTTTCCGTCCGTCCACATCCCGAAGTACATGCCTTACGACCTCCCTTTTTCTTGCTGGTCACCGTTTTTCTTGGTTGCAATACCCTGTTCTGCGTCTGCCTACAGGACCTCTTCTCGCCCTCATGCGAGAGGCGATCCCTCTGTCCAGTCAGCTTACATGCCTCTAAGCCTCTTGACGTCAAAACGCGCCGCGGATCCTCCTCCTCCCCCCACGGCACATCTCTCTCTCTCTCTCTCTTTTTCTCCTTCTCCCAACTTACCCTGCCCACCGTGACTAAAATACCATGGTTCGTATCGAAGCCTCATCGGGTGTTATCCCTCGTGCCCGCCAAGGCTCCAAGACGGCCTAGGGCTGAGCGGCCAGCCCGTCGAGGAAAAGGGCGAGGACGAGGGGCAACCAAGTGCTGCGCGGTGCGAAGGCGCAATGGGGCACCGTCTTGACCGCAGTCGTCCCGTTTTCTCAAACCAGCTCCCACGATGAGGCAAGTTGACCACATGCATCCAGTCCGTTCACCACCCCGCCGTCAGGTTGTGCCGTGCGGGTTCTCTCATTTAGACTCTACTCTTGCTATGGGTATACGTGAACTCTTGGCTTGGGCCCATCTTTAACTCTGACCGTCCACTGTTCCATGTTTTCCTTGTTCAGACCTATCTCCTTTACATCCCAAGTTTGGGTCATATAAGACTTCTTTTCCCCTCCCACCATCTACCCAACCTCTCAACTTTGCTTCATCCTGCATCCAGCTTCCCCAGCCAAGATAGATCTTGTAGCTTAACATCTACTCACGTCCGAGTAACCCCCAGTCTCACTGACATTCATCCTTCCCTGTCACCTCGAGTTCCCCGGCACATCAACCAACGGCAACAATGCACTTCTCTACTCTTCTTGGTGCCGCTGCACTGGCTACACTCACCAACGCAAGGTACGTTCCCGCTCGCCCTTCATAGCCTCAGACACAGACATGAAACTAACATCACTCCCCCCCCCCCTCTCCCAGCCCTCTCGTCCGCCGCCAAGGTCCCCCAGTTGGCCAGGTCATCTCAAAGTGCACCCAGAACGGCGTCGTCGCCCTCACCTTTGACGACGGGCCCTTCACCTACACCTCTCAGCTCCTCGACACCCTCGCCTCCAACAACGTCAAGGCCACCTTCTTCGTCAACGGCCATAACTGGGGCGATATCGAGGCGACCCCCGGCCCGGACAACATCCGCCGCATGAAGGCCGAGGGCCACCTCGTCGGCTCCCACACCTTCTCCCACGCGGACCTGAGCACCCTCTCCTCAGCGGACCGCATCTCCCAGATGACGCAGCTCGAGGACGCCACCCGCCGCATCGGCGGCTTCGCCTCCAAGTACATGCGCGCGCCCTACCTGTCCTGCGACGCCGCCTGCCTCAGCGACATGGCCAGCTTGGGCTACCACGTCATCGACACCAGCCTCGACACAAAGGACTACGAGAACGACACGCCCGACACCACGCACATCTCGGCCGAGAAGTTCAACAACGAGCTCAGCGCTGATGCGGCGGGCAACAGCTACATTGTCCTCTCGCACGACGTCCACGAGCAGACCGTCGTCTCCCTCGTCCAGAAGATGATTGATAACCTCAAGTCCAAGGGGTACCGCGCCGTCACCGTTGGAGAGTGCCTCGGCGACGCACCCGAGAACTGGTACAAGGCCTAAAAAGTCCCGGTGGGTCTTATGTGGCAAAGCTTGCGGAATGAGATAGAGCGGTACATAAAAAATAGCATCTTACTAGGGGTTTGTAAAGGGCGCGCTCATTGGGTTTTCACTGCTTGCTTTCTCCGGCTGTAGATACACGGGTGGATATACCAGGAACACACACCCCCACGGCGCAACTTATTTCATGGAGATACCAATGTTTCATTCATCAAATTAATATTCTCTCATAGAAGTTTTCGAGAGCGTCTATGTTTGTATTGGCCGCGAGTTCCGCGCGTCAACTGTTGTTGTCTGCGTCGTTGAATGAGCCCAACGCCGTGTAAGTGAGGCCAGCCCCACCAGGGGACACTTCACCTCCACCATCCTCACAACCCCCCACAACTCGCCCGCCTTCTTACTCTATGAGACTATCGTGTGCTGTTCCACTTTCATCGATGAGTAAGCAATTATCTCAATTCACTTCGGTCCGGTGGCTCAATTGGTAGGGCGTCTGACTTCGATCGATTCCATAACGGAAAACACCGTGGGTTTTCGGAATTCATCAGAAGATTGCGGGTTCGAGTCCCGTCTGGATCGAATTGCAAGAGTCCCTCCAAGTGTCAGCAAGGGGGGGGTAAATAACTTTTGCATGGACAGCGGCGGAGGGGCGCGGTTAGGAAGTGCTGAGTGAGGATATTGCGTACATGTTTGATCACAGACGAAAGCGTTTGAACAAGCCTTTGGATTCTGCTGACGTTGTCGCCAGAAGTTTAAAGGCGGAGTTGACTTTTTTCTACCCCGGTGTCATCCATGCTTGAGATGTCCCTGCAAGCACAGTTCCCAGCTCCACCATGTCATCGTCTTCAAAGGGCCCATGAGAGCGCACAATAACGGTCGATGATGAAGACTCGAAAGAGAAACAACACTCGATAAAGTGAAAGATGAAGTAGTGGGACAAACTGCCCCTATAGAAAATGCGGCATCAACCCGTGCTTCTGGTGTAACCCACCTACCCATAGCAGAGCTAATGCGCGGTTCCTGGCGGCTTGGAAGGAATCTGACGTACCGCAATCCCACGGGCGTTCACACACATGGCTCACGTCGTCCAAATCTACGCGAGATCGTGGGTGCCAAGGCTGGAGGAAGAACCGGCGGCTTGGCTAGTGAAAATGTTGGTTTGCTAGTTTCGCCGTCTCTGCTCCTTCGTTCGCTTTGGTTCCCTATGCTTGGAGAGCAGTCATCACGCGTTCTTGGTCATTGCGCTTTCGAGTTGAATATTGACCACTTTCTGGGGAGTTCCCCATTTGATTTGGTCTCGTAGCTTCGTGCAAGAAGTGGACGCATGGCGTATCATAGGTAGATCAATAGCCTCCAAGTCAGTAATCTTGGAGTGGGATCTTGGATTTCATCAACTTCTAAGTCATCAAGCTCCTCACTTCCTGCCGTACTCCATCTTCTCCCCATCTGCGGTCGTATCCTGGCCAGTGTGCAGCTGGTGATCACACCGCTGCCTCCCAACATTCAACTCCCAACTAAAGGCACTGAAGTACCACTTTCCCCAGCCAAGCTGCAGGTCGAAACTGCTGGAGAAGCCTCGAGCATTTGTCTGTGGCTCATCTTCGGGGTTTCTGACAATCTCCCATGCCTCTTCGCTTCCTTTCTTCTCATCGCCTCGCCTTTGCGCTGGAGGATTAGAGCCTGTATCTCTCTCTCTCTCTCCCTGACAGAGATGTCTTGTCCTATGTCCAACTGCTAGCGACTTTTTTTCTCTCTAAATCATGGCGAGGAAGTAAGAACAACATAGCAGAGACAGACCTGACGGGATGCGCTATGTGTCTCCCTGTTGTGCCATTTTGACGGGCCTGTTGCTTGCCTTTGAAAGACGTTAAAAACGGACAATGATGAACATCAGCAAAGGCAACCAACCGCCGACCCCTCTTCCACAGGTATTTTCGGAACTTCGGTGGCCGAGCAGTCAGCCCAGACTTTCTCCAGATGATCGGCCATCAGAGATCCCTTTAATTGGTTGAGAATCACTTGGACGTCGACGCAATGTGCTTTGTTGGTTGGTATTGTTCAGGTTCCAACATCTTTCTCCATTAACTAGTTGGTATGAGAGAGAGCATGATTTGGTGCCTACAATGTGTTTCTGACTAAATCTAGCCATATACAGTGGTATACTACTGGTTTTCTGTATTCTCGAAAAAGATTGAAGGAAGACAAAAACATAAACCCCGCCATGTAAGACAATACGGGACAGTCGCTATGGATATCCTGAACCATGTTTGCATCTTTCGAAACTCTTTCGCCTCCCGTTGATTTCCACCAACTGCGTGAGGCGTCGCGTACCTACTCCGTGATAGATGCTGCACTCTCTCGGCAATGCTGCCAACCGGCCACGGTGGCTCGTTCTTGCTAGTTACTCTCTCTCACAAGCTCATGGCAACGCAACAAGAGTAGCCTGCATACGAGGCAAGCAAGCCTACCGAAAGAGCTGCCAACACGGATGATCCGCCTCCTCCTCCAGTAATCAATTATCTTTCGGTCCGTCACCCCTGTGTGAACTTCATGTATCCCAGGTATCCTGACCCTTGCTTCCATCACTGCTTCTTGAACTTCCCGTAGTAGGCCCGCTCTGTACTTCGACATGGTTCTTTGGCGTCTTCGACGGATCCGTCTCCATCGGGCTGGCGTCGCTAAGTTGGTTGAGGTCGATGTTGTTGAAGTCTCCGACAAGATGAGCTATTGAAGACTCCTCGTATGATACAACTCGTGGTCGATCATAGGGGTCCGCTGCCGATCGTGAGGCTTGACTCGCAGAATGAGAACCCTTTGCTGATCTAGATAATCTAGATGATCTCGAAGACAAGTGTGTGACTTCGAGAATCTTCGGGAACAGCTTTCTCCAGGCTTGACGTGTGCTCGGTAGGCAAGCCACGAAAATTCCAACACAAAGCTCGATATTGGACCAGATGGAGCTCTGGAACGAGTCGGCTAGTGTTTCTGTCAGAGCTGGGTGTGGAAGTTGTGAGTTCTTAGCTTAGTGCGAACTTACCTGTGATGTTGTATGATGTCGCAAATATCAGGAGTGCTTTAATTCGGTATGCACTCACTGCGGTGAGACTTTGAATCATCAGTAACATCCTCCCATCAAACATCCATCTTACTCACAATATACCAACGCTGAACATGAGCATCACACCCAGCTTCTTCTTGCGTTGCATCCTCAACGAAAAGACTTGTTTTGCGGGCAGGACAAGCATCCAGGCATCCAAAGCTACGTTCAACGCGCCATGAGACATGGCAAAGGCATTCAAATCGAAACACTTGCCCTTCATGTCTCCTTTCCATCCATGCCAGAAAAAGTTCAGAGGCTGGCAACAGCCGAAGGTTCCAGTGATAAAAGCAACCCAGATAAGAAGGTTGAAAAGCTGTGTATACCAAAGTATTTTGCGAAAAGTTTCGTCGGGAAAGATTCGAAGATATAAAAAGAGGATCGAGGCCTTGATGAAAGCCAGACACGTCATATACAGCATGCCGTAAATTATAAATAACTTTCCTTGGTCAGCATTTTCCTGTAAATAAACAGAGATGCGTCGATGATGCGCCCTTACCAGAAGAAAATTAGTAATCTGGTCTTCGTTCAAGGTCCAGATGTCCCTCCCTGCACCAGTCTCTTCAGCTAGGAGAAGACTATTAGTGAACGTTGTACCTGAATCGCAATTCGAGTCTTACCTAAGTATCCTGCTGGCAAGAAGGCTACTAGTACGGCCTTCGCGATGGTCAGAGAGGTTCATCAAGAGCAGAGGGAAATTGATGATTCTGAGTAGCATACATAAGCGATCACAATGGTTGCATCGTCCCAACCCCAAGATGAAAGCTTCAGACACTTGTTCACCATCCGCACGATGATGAAAAATGTTGTGAAGGCGAAGATTAGTGCCCTGAACCATTTTATAAAAGAGTCCTCCTGGGTAACGGGCACACCGCAGGCAGCTAGTGACTGGTTTCGTGCCGCTGTAGAATTTTTGATGAGCTTAGATCTCTTCACGGGGGATCCGGCTTTGTAACTAACCGAGCATCTCGATGACTGTGCAGTTTGCCTCGACGCAAACCTGCACGTATCCCGCCAGGACGTTGTCATTGCACATGCATTGCTGGTCCGTCAGGGCACAAGACGAATGGCCGATCTCCTGGAAGATGCATTTGATCTACACCCGTCAGCACGTTCCATGGCGAAGGGAGGCCGGAGTGAACTCTGCTTACGGCGCAACTTGGGATGCCCTCATACGAAAGATCCGACCCGGCGACGAAGCTTCCCAGGCCCAAAAAGCAAGCGAGAAGGAAGAAGACACGAATGGCGGACATTGTGAAAGGAGCGACTGTGAATAGATGATGATATCCTGCAAGCCTCTCGTACCCAGGTGGGGCCTTTTGCAGATTGTCGTGGGAATCCGAAGCCGCAGAGGTTGCTCGGAATATCAAAGCTTCGACGAAGGGCTGAGGGAAGCAGTCTTGGCCATGTTTTTTACAAACGTGGGGATATGAGGAGAGAGAAAGACAGCAAGGAGAGTCGTGGCGTAGACATCTTACCACGGGAGGTGCGCGCTGCCGGGTGTCACCTCGCCCTGCTAGCAAAGAACTAACCTAGTTCCTAGCTAGTTCTTGAAAGCCCCTTCGAGAAAGCGGCTGCCCTCCTCTTGGGAAATCAGAGCGTTGCACCTGCTCGCGGCAGTCGGGCGGACCTAAGTGCCTCACACGCCAAGATACCGAGTCGCCCCGGCATTGGATCACAGTAAGCTGGAAATCACGTTTTCGGGAGGTGTGTCTACAATGTCTCACCTCGTCGTCTCAGTAAATATACACCAGCTCATATTGGTTTGTCTCTCTCACTAGCAGAGAGCGCCACGTCTGGGACCATCGTGAGTCTGGCAAGGATATCTGGGCTCAAGACTGGATGGTCGTGCGCAATGGGTGCCGCTAGGGGAAGCCACGGCTACTTCCTAAGGCGGGAGCTTTGACATATCGAATGGAAAATCGACATGGCTAGTAAGACCCAAAGCCGAGCTAGCTACAGGCTGTCACGCTGTGTGCAAGTGCTCAGGGGCAACATTGACGTTAGCGTCAAGTTGGGAATGTCTGCTCACTCAAGAAATGCCGTTCGCAGTCTTGGTCTACCTTGGCATGTGAATAAGATGCATTAGAGTTGTCTTTTTGGTGGTATCGGTACTTTTACCCCGGCCCGTGTCTCGGCGCTTCATTGAATGGCTCGGACGACAATCGCAGGATTGGGCAGGATTTCGAATATTTGCTTCTCACATTGTTCCACAAGCTACGTCCGTATACCATGTAGTAATATCTTTTGCAGTGTGTGAAACCACGGTGCGATATGAACAATGCAAAATGCCAATGGAGATGTGTCTTACTGTAAGAGCTAAAATTCCCAAGTTTTCGGGGCAGGATGATCTCCCCGTTCCACATACATGTGCAACCTACCTAGGAAGCGTTGGGAAAGTAAGTTATTCTTCTTGTTGCCGTTATCCAGTACCGTTTGGCAATTAGAAGACAACCAAATTCAATGTGAATGAACACATGGGGTGGCTTCTCTAGACACTCAGGCCAGCCTTTGAATTTCCGTTTCATGCTGGGCCTCCGAGAAAACAGTCAAGCGAGGCAGCCACGCAGCTCCAGATTCTCGGGTGTTCCTGAGCGAAGCAAATCATTCCCCTCCGGCTGGCGAGCCAGAAACCCCACACAGCCACCAAATTCATCAAAGAAAGCTTGGCGGGCTAGCACTTCACTATCACGCATCATTATTTCAGCTTCCAGCCTCTGTTTCTTTGTTCTACCAACGTAACTAGCATCAACATCGCCTAGAAATCGAGCCCATGAGAGGCGACTAACTCGAGCGGAGGGTCCCCTCCGCAGTGCAAACTGGAGCTTTTGGTCTCGTTCTAACCGCTCTTTTCAACTTGAAGTGTATTTCTCACCTGGGTTCGTTGTGTGGGCCTCGTGCGGACATTTGGGCAAAGCTCCAAGGCCGCCGATGAGATGTAATCCCTGTCGAGAGGCAAGCTGAAAGTACCAGGACACATGGGTTCGCTGGGGGGACATTCATGAATCTGTGGAGAATCCATGCATTTCGAATGAAAAGAAGCAAAAAACCCCAATTTGACCGTTATTAACCTCTTTTCTCCGGCCACCGAACGGGCCTCAGCCCGGACCGAAAGTGGGTCTGCCGGGGCCGTTGTCTCGGGAAACTGCCGGCTGGGCGGATGGAGCCGCCGTAAGTAGCAGTTTCAGCGGCCGCCATAGCTCAACGGTAACGCAATGAAGCATAACTTTCTGTTCGTGCGCGTGGCTTCAGATTGATCTTAGCCAATCTCGTGTTCAAACTTGGACCTGACATCCAGTCGCGAGCCAAGCAGCATTCAGTACCTCCGCGCTTGGAGAATGAGGGGATCCAAGTGATGAGAGACCCCAATTGCATATGAGCTGCGGCGGTATTTCAAAAACGGGATCTATGATTTGAAAGGCGTCATTTCAGAGCTCGGAAGGGTCGAAAGCGAAGAAAGACACGCTTGAAGATGGTGGGCAACGGCTCGAGATCGTGAGCATAGAGTCACAGTCATCTATATTTAACCATTGAAATTTTGCACCTAAATCCTGTCTTGTATCCAACGAAAAGGATCTCCTGACTTGCATCATAAAAAGTGTCCATAATTCCCATCGCCTTGCAGACCCTGAGTCTGTCAGTCCGAACCTTGCTGGGACCGCTCTTGCGCCGCCAAACGGCCAGAAGCATTCATGTTCTGACCGAAAGACGCACACTACTACTAAGCTTCAAGACGAACATGACAGATGCTCAAGACACTCCGGGATGTTGTTTACCGCTTCGATCTCGGGTTCAGCTTGTTTACTGGTCAATGTGGGAGCCAATGGGGGTTGGCTCCGGGCCGTGGCAGGAAATTCCTCATATAGAGAGGCTTTCATCTGTTCGGCGGCGGCAGCGCACCGCGGGGTTTGTCAACGTATACCCGATCTCCTCGACTTAGAGATGGAATGATTCGATCTTGTAACGATTAGCTTTTAGAAAGATGTCGAAAGAAGCGTTTACCGACTATTGAGGCTGAACCCTCGGCCGCTCCATCTCTTTCCTGGCGATTTACGCCGACAATGCCCTTAACCCACCATCGCTCGTAGTACATCAGCTTGCCCAATCACGAAGTACGCTAAATTCCCGCTCACCGAGCAGAAAGTTCGACCAGGCCCGTCAGAAGCTCGGGCGAAAGCGTTCTTCTTTCATTCAGGGCTAGGTCTCCTCATCAAAGAGTGTCCTGGTAACTTGTCCGCTTCTAAATTGGCATGAGGCAAATATTATGGAAGTCTTCTTATGTATCATTGCTCACATGTTCTCTGGCATCTTCGTAGGCAAAAAGCTCAGTCGCGACCCCGAGGGGCTCTCAATTAAGGTACCGCAGGATGCACCCTCAACGCAACCAAAGTAGTAAAAATCCTCTCGCAATGGCCTCAGCCTCTCCAGCCAATCATCCACTAGTCCATTCTATGCTGTTCCAAAGGTCCGCACGCACATCGCCGGTGCCGAGATGTCAGAGAAAGGGTCATTGGGCGCGATCGACTGGCTCAAGGATACCCCCAAGGACCACAAGGAGGTCGAGACGGTGTTGAAGAGTGACGCCTGGAAAAAGGACTGCACTGCCCAACATCAAGCCCATGGCCAACGTCAGTTACGAACCAGTCTCTGCAGGCAAGCATGCTTTCTTTCCTTCTTCCCTCGGGGTTGTATAGCACCTTACTGGGGATTAACACGTATCATATTGGTCTCCCTCCAACGAGTCGCCACAGACGACACAATCGCTGACAACACCCGCCTCCGCAAAGGCCAAGCTGTCGCCGTTCCTCTCCGTCACATTAATTCCATCATAATGGAGACAAGTTCGACGGTTACAGGCTCCTCCGCATGCGGGAAGCAAAGGGACAAGAGCCCGGCACCCAGTCGGTCACCTCCAACCAAGGAGGAGCACACAGCCTGCGGGCACGGCCGTCTTTTCGCCGAGAACAAGGTCAAGATCGCGCTGTGCTACTTATCTGCTCAAGGACGACTTCAAGCTGGTTGAAAGATGCGAGCCAAAGTTTGTGAATGTTGGGTTCGTTCCAAATCGGATCCAGTGGCGAAGGTCTTGATGCGGAGGAGGCGGGACCATGCTGTTGTTCGAGTCAATGGTAAAGAGAATGGCCCTCGTCTCGTGATAGTCCTTTCCCCAGTCAAAACTTGGACACTGGTAGCCAAGGCCAAAATCAAGTTTTGCAAAGCCAAGTCGGCGCTTCTCTTCTCCTAAACACAAGACACCAGAGAGAGTCATGCAAAATAAAGAACAAACCTCGGTTCGCCGGCAGGTAGCGATCACGAAGAAGCAAATAGTCTTAGTTTATTTAATGTACCTTACTTACACCGTAAAACTTACGATAAATGGGCAAAAATGGCAAAATAATATGATCCCAGGCGGAGTTTAACCACTGCATCTCCCCGAGGTGGGCTCGAACCACCAACCTCCAGATTAACAGTCTGACGCGCTAGCCAATTGTGCCATCGGGGATAAGCTCTTTTTGAGCTATTGGGATGTTGTTGAAGGAGCAGGTCAGTTGAGCCTTTATCTTACTTTGGAGAGGGCAGCAGCTGTGCGCTGTTTCAAGCCCTAATGAGCGGGTCTAAAATGTGCGGTCATGAAGCAGTCGGTGTGAATAGGACGAAATGGTGATTGGTGGTGCCTCATTGCTGACCCACGTTGTGAATGAGACGCAGTACTCCTCCGTACGTGTGGCTCGGGCGGGCTTAGTCCGCGGGTCCACCCGGCGCAATCTTGGATGTTGTCCCCTTGGGTGGTTGCGGTTGTCAGTGTTGCCAATGATCAAAGAGCATGAAAAAGGCTTTGAAGCCATGAATGAAAAGACATTTTTTCTGTCTTGCTGTATCCGTAAGGTCTCATCATAAAACAGCGTCATCGATCTACGTCAGATACACTTTCATTAGCGATAATCGCTTGAAGTACAAGGTATCATATACGCCATAATGCCTTGTGAGATTGACTGGGAAAAGCGTAGTTGATTGTGAAACTCAGGCTACTAAGACAGCCATGGTTTAGAAGTAGAAACTTGATTAGTAAGGCTTCAACAGTGTTGCGACGATACTACTGAATGCGAACCCAAAAAACGTTTTAGGGTCCGCTCGAAGTCCGAACACTTACATGACCTCTCGCAAGTTACATTGTGAATACCTTGCCCTTGGGTCGCGACTCACGAGGACATGGTTCGCTCAATGAATCAGAGGCCAACTTTTCTAACGATGGAGTCGAGCAAACCACGACTACCCTTGTCCGGCGGGGACATTCTCACGATGCCCTCATTCTAGGGCTTGCAGCGCAGAGGACTCAACAAGCAGCTGGTCGGTTAGCTCAGTTGGTTAGAGCGTGGTACTAATATTTCATCAGAAATGTTGAGTTATGCCAAGGCCGGGAGTTCAAGCCTCCCACTGATCATTCTCTTTTGCATCCTGGTGATGCGGAACTAGATAGCTCTTGTTGTGCGATTGCGCACTTTTGATTCATCGTATGTATTGTATTTTTGTGTTGATTGTCAGTACTTCCGCGACCTTGTCGGGCTTGCTTGACAGAAACGCCGGTAACGGTGAATACAGAGTTGGCCGGTGGAGAGAGGCGTCCAGAAACGGAGCCGTGCCTGAAAGGAAGTAGTAGACGGGTAGGCAAATGCTCACTTTGAACCTGGGAGCGGAATTGCCGCCCACTGTCACTAGCCTGCCACCAGTGGAATGGAACAGACCGCAGATCTTTGACGGCATCACGAGACCGAGTCTGGCAGAAATGGCAAGTAAGCCGCGATGTGTAGATAAATAATTCCCAAAATGCGCCCTTCTACCCCTATAGCATGGAAGTGAAGGGGGGCCATGTGTGGTTTTGCGAGACACCTCGCAATGTCATTGAGAACGAGAATATGGCATGAAAACTGGACCAATCGGTGTGGCACATAGGCTTGTTGAGAGGTAGCAGCTTGAAGACAAGACCAGCATCGGGAGGGACGATGGAAGTATTGGATTATTGTTGAATGTCATTGGCGATGAGCCGTCTTACACCTACCCGATGCTTTCGTGGACGTAAATTTTCCCAACCATAAGTAGCAACAGAAGAAGCCTGAGAAGGAAGTGAAATTAATAGAAACACGGCACACGCATAGCTCGAGCCCAGAACGCCGTGTCATGAAGTTTCAATGTTTCATTTGCCTGCCTGACCCTTTACAAACCAAGCCAAGCAGCGATACCGCGAGGCATGCCATGCAATTGCATCGACCGGACAGGAGGGTGAGGGCTGCTCGCACCTCCTCCCAAATCGAGCTTTCTCTGGCCGTCCCTTCCGAGTCTTGTTTCCTTAAAAGACGCGAGGAAACGGAACCAGATCTTTTGATCCACGTTTGACTCCCCCGTAAAACAGTAACTGCCAAATTTTTCGCGGGAAACACCAAAAGCTGACCGGACCCGGGAAACCCGACGTTTCCTCCCAAGGTTTTTGCTGCATCTCCCCCTTCCCCTCTTGACCCCAGAAACCAATAAAAGGTGCGTACCGTTTAACGGTAAGACTTCTGGAATCTGGAGCGGGCACCCTTACCACCGAACTTCTTGGGCTCGCACCGGCGGTTGTCGGCGACGAGGAGGGTACGGTCGAACTGGACGAGGGCCTGCTTGAGCATGTTCTTGGAGTGCTCGTCGACGAACTTCTGGTAGTAGGCAACGACAGACTTGGCAATGGCCTGACGGATGGCGTAGATCTGGGAAGTGTGACCACCACCGGTGACGCGGACGCGAATGTCGATGTTGGCGAACTTGTCAAGGCCGAGAACAAGGAGGGGCTCGTAGACCTGTGGTGCGAAAGATACGTTAGTTCTCACTCGGGTCCTTGGATTTTAACATGCTGTTCGTCGTGTAGACCCTGGTCGCTCGTCTTATCGAACCGATTTCGCGAATTGGCGAACAAAGGGCGAGGGCTGTGTTGCACACAAGCCTTCTCGTCCGTAGAGGCAGCGAAGCGTCGCAACGCTCACCCTTTTCGACCCTTCCCCCAAATGCCAAGGGTTCTATTCCGAATTTCCTTCTCTTGCCGACCAAATCTCAACGGAGTTCGCGCGGGACAATAATCGTACCTTGAAGCGGAGGATCTCAGGCTGGACAAGCGAGAGGGGCTTGCCGTTGACCTTGACGAGGCCCTTGCCAGCCTACGAATCGCAAAAAAAGTCAGCTTCCTGTGTTCCAATTATCCAACATCGTCGCCCCTCCTTCGCATCTCTGTTTCGGAGCTCTCTTCTTCGGGAGGATTTATCGGAATCGTACCTTGCACTGGGCAACGGCGGTGGCGGTTCTCTTCTTGCCGAAGCACTGGACGCTCTGGGTGGACGACATGGTTGCTGCGGGATGGAGGGGGGACTGTTAAGAAATTCGCAACGCGATCGTGAGGCTGGCGTCTATGGTGCTTTGGGGACAGACTCAGACCGAAATTTTGCGAGTTGGATTTCAGTAAGGGTTGTGCCCTTTCTGCTGGGGGTTTGGGACCGTTTAGTGGCTGGTGCGTCCGGTGATTCTCCGGGTGGGGAGGGTGAAGCACGTGATGTGGAATTGTGCTCGAGTGTGGAATCGCTGAGTGGACCGTAGCACAGCCGAACCCAGCCTGGGATAAAAACGGATTAGTGGGGTCTCTCAAAAGATTATGTCATCTTTCAAGATTGATGCGGAGTGACCGCCGGGACCGCATGTCACTCATCGGCTTCGGTATCCTCCGATATGGCATCCACCAAGACCACTGACGCCCCTCTAGTGTATTCGCAACCTCCACCCTCTTCCGCCCGTGAAGTGACGCACCCCCACCGAGGCCCAACCTTCCTCACCCTGCACACTCGATCCGACAGAGTAAAGACCGCAAAGAATGTCGCGCAAGGGCGTCGGCCTCGCGGCCTTCGACCGCTCCCGCATCACTTCGGCGCAGTATGCATCCCACGGCTCCAACCTCCGCACGAGCAATGCGCAGGCTCTCGAGACCCAGCTTTCCGTCTTCCGCTCCCTCCTTCAGCAGTTCGCGCAGACCCACGCCAAGGATATTCGTTCGAACCCATCCTTCCGCGCCCAATTCGCCCGCATGTGTTCCGCCATCGGCGTCGATCCGCTCGCGTCCTCGTCCTCGTCCTCGGGCGGGGGTGGGTCGTCGTCAATATGGGCGCAGCTGCTCGGCCGGTCGGTCAACGACTTCTACTTCGAGCTGGCGGTGCGCGTGGTGGAGGTCTGCGGCGCGACGCGCGACGAGAATGGCGGGTTGATTGGCGTCCGCGAGGTTCGGGAGCGAATCATGAAGGGACGGATGGAAGGCGCGAGCGAGGTGACGGAGGACGACGTGCTTAGAGCCGTCGGTACCTTGAAGCCGCTAGGGAGCTCGTACAGTGTCATCAAGGTCGGAAGCAAGTCGTACATCCGGAGTATACCCAAGGAGCTCAATACGGACCAGAGTGCCGTGCTGGAAGCTGTGCAAGTGCTGGGATATGTTAGCATATCGATGCTGATGGTTAATCTTCGATGGCCGAGGGCACGAGCCCAGACTGCCTTGGAGGATCTCCTCGGCGAGGGCATGTTATGGGTTGACAAGCAGTGTCCCGAATGGGAATACTGGAGCCCCGGATTTATGGTTGACACAGGCGAAGCATCGGCGGGAGAGTGAAACAACAGATCGCTCAACGAATGAAATCAGGCACAGACAAACGAGACGTTGCTGTATGAGCAACACTGGTGGTGACCGCCAACAAGCCAGTCAGTCTCAACAGTCGAATATCAGGCTAAGGCGTCGAGCACTTGCTCCCGAGTAAGACTAAGTCTCAAGCCCACAGGGCAGTCGAGACTCACTACGTCACCCACCTAGGCGATGCGGAGCATGGCAGGACATCACCAGAACCGTTGGAGCAATCTTATCTCGTGTCACTCAGCATATAGACCTGGGGACATCAGCCTCGGACAGAAATACCAAGCATACTGAACCTAAAATCCAAGCGCATTTGAACCTATCTACCGACACATGGGACATATAACATGATAGCAACATTTGAAGCAAGCAAATTGTACAGGGACACTCGGCGGTCGTTTGCGGTCCATCCAAGCCGCTTGCTCCCAGCTCGCATATCTTCACACTGCCTCCACGCCCCTCAACTCCAGAAATCCGCCCCAAAGGACTGATATCGTTTTCGTATTAGATGTAAACAGATTTCTCATCAACTGGGCGTTATTTTGCTGTCATCTCAACCATCTCACCATAGAAGAGTCGTTTAGTACGGGGGGTTAGGGCCTCCCATCGGGCCAGGGTAGTCCTTTGGTCCGGGGTAATCCTCGGGGCGGCCTCCCATGGACGGAGAGCGGCCGTCACCGAAGTGCTTCTTGCGCAGGGCGGCGAGACGCTTCTTCTTGGTGATGGTGTTGATGTAGGTGCCAATGATGAACGCAACCAGGTTAAAGAAGGGCACCCAGAGTTGATCAGGAAGGAACTTCTGGGCGAAGGCCAAGCACAGCGGGGAGGTGACCCAGCTGACTTTCATGACCTTCCAGAACCCAACCTTGACGGTCGCGCGGACCTGGTGGTAGGTCTTGGCTCCGGCAATAAGGGCCATTGCGGTGAGGTAGACGGAGTTTTGGATGGGCGCAATCTACGGGACTCGAGTCAGCATGCTCATTATAGCTATCACAAGGTCATCCCACTTACAATCAAATTGCTGACGATAATCTGCAAGATCTTGGCGCGCAAGCTGGTGCGGCCAGCAAAGGTCTTCTGCAGGGCCCAGATGAGGAAGTGGCCAAGGGGCGCGCTGACGAGGGCGCCGTAGGCGGCCATCTTGGGTACGCGGGAGGTGAAGTAATTGCCATGCTTGTTGCGGTCCTTGGCGAGGAAGGATGCGATCAGCTCCTGAGCACCGGCGAGGGTACCAGCAGTGAGCATTTTGGTGCGCAGAGGGTTCTGCTCGAGCTGCTTGATGTAGGCCTGGGTTGCACTGCGTCAGCATTTTGGTCTGGCATGTTCCCGACCATGTCGCAGCGACTCTATCGCACACACGTCACGGGTGGAACAGGAGTATTGGAGGACGAACCGCAAGATAGCCCTTGGATCCCGCATTTTTCTTGCCGCCGGTGATGGCCGTGCCGATGGCCTCGGAGATGGGGTGCTTGCCGCTGGTGCCGGGCAGAGGTTCCCCGATGAGGCCCTTCTTAACCTCCTCGACACCCTTCTTTATCGTGTCCTTCTCGAACTTGACCGACATGGTGGGCTAAAGCTTCCGGGGTATCGCTAACGTAATCGAGAAAATCGCGGGGGAAACTGCGGTGAAGGGAGGAGTATCAGCTTGGGAGGCCCGTCTTTGAGGGTGTTTGCGATGGATTTTCCGGGGGGTGTTCGTCAATTGAATTGCGGCTCCAGAATGGCACCGCCGGGGGCCAATGGTTTGTTTACCGCGTCGCTCTGCCGACCGACTCAGGTGCGATTGGTTGATTGCGCGCGACTGGAGCTTGGCTCGTTGGAGACACTCAATTCACAACAGCACGAAAAACTCTGATGAAGACGAGGAAATCGGGGCAACGTACCAGATTTTCTTCGAGATCGCAGGACGTGAAGTGAGCGCCTGAGAGATTGAGCTGTCGTTAGGAGGGGAGGTTGGGCGGCAGTGATAGAGGGAGCGACGAGTGGGTTGTTGATGTGGTAGCTGAGGAGGTTGACGCACAATTGGGCCCTAGGGGCGTACGGATACGACGCGGCAGACTTCCACTAGAGGCACCTATGGGCCGTAAGGTGTGGCAGACCAGACAGGACAGGCCTCGGGCTGGGGGGGAAGGGGAGAATTGACTGAATTGATGGGGGTGGTGCCGACGCTGGACCAGAGCTTCGCTGCTGCGAAATGCTCATTCGTCCACCATCGCAACACGACTGGGATATTGCATGATGGGCTAGAGCTGGACGGAGCTGCAGGGGTGTGTCCAAAAAGACGTTTCATTGGCTGCCCTCAGGAAATGGCCGAGGTCTGTTTTTCGCCTTGGTCCTTGGAGGAGGGGACGGCCTGAAGAATGACGGGCGGCACTGAACAGACAGACGCACGTCGCTCGCATGCCAGCTCATCCCTCTCATGCACCCTACCTTACTTATCCTTACCGAGTGGGAAGAGGTCGAAGTCTGCTTCACCTGCCGATCATCTTTCCGCAGTGCTGGTTTGACCCCTCTCAAAACCGTCCCTTCACTTCAACTAGTTTAATGTCAAACCTTCATGCTATGCCCTTCCGAACCGCCCGAAGGTCATCCGAACGACACGAAGTTCGAATGCAAACCACCTTGCAGCTCAAAATCTGGTCAAAATGCATCTGGAGATAAGGTTTGACAGAACATCCTTGGTCTGTGCTGGGCATTATCAGATGAGCGATGTCAAGTTGCGTCTGCCTTGTCCAAAAACACTTTACATCTAAGACCCTAAATATGTAGGTGTAGATCTAATGGCCATGTTCTAGCTACATCGCTTCGCAAAAGATTCGAAGCGCCTCTGGTTCATATTGTTTGTTCATGAACGGACTGAAATGGGCGTCGCCATGAGTGCACACCAAATTTGACTTACACAATGAAGATCTGAGAAGATATGATGGTAATGTTTATTAAGTGTTCTGGTCAGATGGGGTCTGGTTCAATATAAACTCATTGCTTCGACCCATGCTTCACAGCTTAATCCCCAAGCATGCACCAGAAAAAAAGTAGCATTGAAGCTTACAACTCCATCGTCAAGTCACAAAGTAGTGCGAATTTTTGACCTTGGTCCAGATATTTTCTGTTTGATTAGAATTGTGAGAGGCATTGCCCAAAAGCCAGTGGCTTGTTGAGACGGAAAATCGCGGCGCAAATCTATCAGTGTTCATTTCGACGTCTTTGTCAATAAAGGCACGAGACTACTACACATGCTCCATCTTACAGAACAGTAGCTTTGACGGAGCCCCCTCCCCCTCCTTCCCTCCAATAACAACAACTGGAATATGATGCAAGAGTGATATGTTGCAAGGAATAACAATTCGGCCGCGTGAGATATCAAAATGAGCGCCACCTTCAAGAAGACAGGCCCGTGGGAACTGAGAGACAATGGGTAATGAAGTAGTGGAAACTTGAGGTAGCTTGTGCGTCTTCTCATACGCGCCTTCTCATGACGACGTTGAGCTCATTTGTTCATGGTTCACCTCATGGTGAATGCTGGGATGAAAAGTGAGTGAATCAGGCGTTCCTTCCCAGCAGGAGTAGCCGGCACCTTCCTCCCAAGTTCAATCACCCACATGGCTCTCCCAAACTCCCAACACTGGGCAGAGCCGAGTTCACTTCCTAAGACACCTCAATGACCACCGCACCTAGGAGCATCATCTAAGCACCCAGCCTTGTCATCGGGCCGCTCTCTCCTCGCGATTCGCCTGTCGTGTCTTGGGTTGCCCAGTATCACTATGGCATCCCAACCCACACATCGCCCGGCGCGCTCCTACGCCGCCTGTACACACGTCACAATGGTCCGAGTGTACAGCTACACCCTCAGATGCGATTCTTGTGGTAACTACGGTCACTTTGGATGGCTGTATAGATGCAGTCAAGACCAGGAGGAAATTTTGCGCAAATCCATCTCCAATGGCGAAGAGGTTAGGTCACGCAACAACGCGGTAGGATTATGATACTGATATTCCAGGTCACCTTTGACGACATCGGTAAGCAGCTGGTTACGGCAGTCCATCCAAGGAACCGCGGCCCAGAGAAACGGTCGGGGAACGCCGCCAGCTTTCTCGAGGAGATGCCTCCGAGGGATATCACCACCACCTACTCGAGCGACCAGCTCATGACTCTTTTCAACCAGCGGAAACACGTATGTTGACCCAGTATAAAAGAAGCTGAAGACATACTGATTCATGCCTCCCGCAGCTTGGAGATATTCTTCGTCGAGAATCTTTTCGAAAGAAGCCGGCAGCCATCCAAGGACACGACGGCGCGCATTCGTCCAGCACCTACGACTTGGATGACACCTTAGAGAGCAATGTCTCTACCCCTTGGGTTCCCAGGGCGAAGGATGAGTGCCAGTACAAGATATGCTCATATTGCCGCCCTGGCGGAGCAGACCGGGCGTACATCAGTCTGGATGGTATCGCTGAGGGCAACATCCCCGCCACCGCTGCCACCGGGTACGGCTTCCACCTATTTCGCCGAAGACCCGTATGCAGCTCTCAACTGGTTGCGAACATCGGTCTTCGATCATCTTCAGGGGTGGGTATATTTCTCATGTCACCGATGAGGAGTATAAGTTTCATTGTGATGTGGGCAATTTCTGATATTTCTCCCAGACCTCAATCGGATCCTCCGCGTCGTCGTCGGGTACATACAGATATATCAGCGACGCACAGCTGGCGAGTCACTTGGCCTCACAGCTCAAGATGCCCGGCACGTCAACTCTCGACTCAAGACCAGCGACGCTGTACTCTCTTCTTCTCCCCCACGGCCATCTGCCTCGATCTCCGGGGACCCCGAACCTCGCCGCCCAAGTCGAGAAGCCTTCCGAGTCCCACACAGACGACTCTTCGTGGCAAGATACCACGGCTTCGACCATGAGCATCCCGGCTGGCACCAGCGGCCAGCTCAGCGACGACGCTACAGAGATGGAGGAGCAAGAGAAAGCGCAGGGCAGGTTCTCCGCCACGCCTCTCGACGTTCCAAAGGGTGTGGCCGTCTTGGAAGAGAGCGTTGAGATGCATGCGCCGGACCTGGTCACACAGGTTTGAGAAGCAGACATGGCTTAGGGAAGAGCGGCGCGGTAGCTGGTAGCATTGGTTGCTGAGGCGTTGGATTGCACAAAAAGATTCCCCCAGTTGCGAATAGGAATTATCAGTATTCTTCCCCCATATGGCATATACCCTGGTAGAGAGGTGGGCAGTAGACAAGAAAAGCGTCTCATAGCTCTGTCAATCAATCAAATCATCCATCATAACTGTATTCATGACCTCTATCCCAATCCCCCCCACTCACACACACGCGCGCGCGTCATCAATCTTTGGTGCTCTCCAGCACAGCCTTCATCATGGCATTGCCCACAGCCACAGCATCCTTAAACCGGGGCTGGAAGAATTGCTGCGTCGTCTCGAACCGGTTCTTCCACGTCTCAAAGTGCCCCAGCGAGACGCACTCGGCCCACCCTCTCGCCGCGAACGTGAACTCGAGATCGTCGGAGCGGTAGGTGTGGTCTTCCACCGCCGTCCGCAGCGCATCGTCGAGCAGCTCGGGGCTGCGAAACAGGTGCTCCGCGACGCCGAGCCACAGACGGAACAGCGGCGTCGAGCAAATCATGTGGTCGTACGGCACGATGCCCAGCTGCGCCCAGCAGTCCACCATGGCCAGCAGGCTCAGGTGGTTATTGGCGCGCTGCGGCTCCGTCTGGTCCTCCTTGCGGCCGAGCGAGAAGCGCTCGAGCAGGTCCGGGTTCAGCAGCGGGCGGTCGGCCCATTTGGGGCTGCCGTCGTGCCCAAACACCTTTTCTTTGGCGGCGAGCACGCGGGTGCGGAGGGCCGCGGTGTTGCCCTCGAGCATGAGCTTGTACAGGTCCGTGACGGAACGGGCGAACTGGGAGATTTGCTTGCGGGCCTCGGGGTTCAGGATCGCGAGGCCGGCGTAGACGTGCCATTTCTGCGAGTAGATGCGCAGCATAATGTTGATTTTGACGTTCTCTACGCCGCCGACGTAGCGCGACATCTCCCAGGGGAACTGGGTGTTTGCGTGCCAGGCTTTTCCCATGGAGAGGAAGGCGGCGTGCGTCACGGCCTGGGTGTCGGCGGTGATGCGATCGTGCTCGAGGGCGGTGAGGTGGACGTGCTTGGAGCCGAGGACAGAAAGGACGGTCTCGACTTTGGCGACGGCGACGGGGCCGGCGCGGTGGCCGATTATGACGAGGGGTTGGTTCCGCGGGTCAACGTTGGGGCCGTGGAGGGAGTGGCAGGAGACGATCTCGACGTCGGTGGGTAGGTGCCGCTCAAAGGCCGTGATCTCAGGGGCCTTGCATGATGTTTGGCCGCCGACGATGGCGCCGAGCTTGGTTGCTAGACGGGCAAGCTGTCAGATAATGGAGACCATCCCATGGCAGAATGGTTTTGGAGCATGGGTGTAGATAAGTGGCAGAGGCAATGGAAGGAGTATCATACATGGTCCATACTGGGCAATCACGCGGTCAATGGCGGCAGCTTCAACGCTGTAGATGATATAGTCGCTGGCGCGGGAGACGTAGTGGCCATTTCGGCAAATTTGTACATTGCTCTATCAAGAAACTGCTCAGCCGGGTTGAACACCGAGGGGTCCCACGCTGAGGCGCGCGGCAGGGCAGGTCTAGTGGCATCCCATACATTTCCAGAGAACTCTTCTTTCAGGCTCTCGTACTTTTCTTCCTGGTCACACGCCATGATCCTGCCAGCACCCAGGAGGTCAGTCTATTCTTTCTTTCACATTTCGCTTTTCCTCCTCCTTCTCTAGCACAGCGTAGGCTGTCATTGGTGTAGCAATAATAGGGCATGAAGCTATTGCGGGTTCCTGAAAAGCTTGTTAGCTTCGCTGTTGTCCGAGACTGCATGTAGTAGAAAAGAACAGATTGGTTGTGAAGGTTCAGACAGGTAAAGTTTAAGGTAGCTAGGTGTATCATCATGGAAGGCCCTCGGCGGTACCCGGGGCCAGAATGGTTACCCGGGAATGCCTTGGGCGATACTCTAGCCAAATGCGCTCTTGTCATCATTACCAATGGGGGAGATGATGGTAAAAAAGCAGAGTGGTGGAAGCAAAGGGGAAAAGCTTACCAGAAGAACCGAATAGCGCAGAGGCCCAGCTGGGGAATGAACAGTTACTCACTTCCATCCAGCGGCAGAGAGCCTCTGCGCGTACATCTTCCCCATGTCTCCCATACCAATCAGGCCGACCACGAAATTTTCCATTCCCGCGGGGATACCGCCAGCGGCCTGAGGTGAGGGGAGAGCCGAAGAAGATGCCATCGTGCCGTGCGAATGCGTTTTCCCTGTCAGATTATAGATCTTTTTCCCCAGGTGAATATGGGCTTCTGTTGGAGGACTGCAAAAAAGGTCTACTCGAAGTAAACCTCTCACATCCTCACCAGCAAGAAAAACTCTGCAAGAGACGATGTCGTCTGGCGCAAAACCAAGAGAATCAAGTCGCGACTGTGCTGGACCTGCTCGTTTCGGCTTGCGAGAGTGTTGTGATGCGAATGGTGAGTGAAAAAAAAGTTGGCGGCTCAGTTTCCGCTTTTTGATCTTGCGGCGCGAATGGCGGAGACGCGGGAATGATTGGCCGAAAGGCCCCTCCAGCAAACTGGTTAGGTGCATACGAGAAACTGGTGGGGGACGAACATGCTTACTACGATATTTCGCGGGGATCCACCAAAGCTACCAAGCTACCTTACCAAGCTATCCTACCTTACCTTACCTCTTCGAGAGAGCTCACTTTGCCGCTGCATATCAAAGCCAAAACCGAGATCGACAAGTAAAAGGCAAAACTTTCAGCATGTCTGTTCTCTTCGCCGTTGGCTCAAACGGATCCGGGCAGCTCGGCATCGGCCACAAAGAAGACGTATCCGTCCCCAAGCAGGCCGTCTTCTTCCCAGAGGACATCGAGTCCCCAGTGGTCAAGATCGCGGCAGGCGGAAACCACACGCTTCTCCTCACAGAATCAGGACAGCTCTGGTGGAGCGGAGACGCGACCAGCGGCGCTTGCGGCCTCACGTCAGCAGCAGAGACCGACGAGTCGGTATTTCAACGAGTCCGGCTTAGCAAGGATGATCAGCAAGAGCAAGCAAACGCTGCAACACCAGTACTGATCGCCGCGACCTGGGAGGCGTCGTTTGTTGTTCGTCAGGACAGCGAGGGCAAGAATACGAGAATCTACAGCTTCGGTGCCGGACAAAAGGGCGAGCTGGGCCTCGGAGAGCTCCTGGTCCGTTCACCGTCCGCCAGCCTCTTCAAGGAGTTCCCGCCGGCCGGGACCGAGATCGTGGACCTGGCGGCGTGCATGGGTCACGTAGTGGCGGTCCTGAGCAACGGCGATGCCTACGCCTGGGGCAACGTGCGTAAAGGCCAAGGTGGAACCCCTGAGTCGGTCGTCCACTCGCCGAGGAAGATCCATGGTGTCGATTTCAAAGTTGCCAGGGCTGTCTGCGGAAAGGACTTTACTTGTTTATTCGGAGCTCCGGACTCGGGCAAGCTCCTCGTTTTGGGCTCCGATAAATGGAATATCAAGTCCTCCTCGCCCGGCTCCGTGTCGGAGTGGGCAGACGTTGGTGCGAGCTGGGGTAATGTCTATGTCCTGAAGAAGGATGGCGAGCTCTTGGCATGGGGAAGGGACGATCATGGACAGCTCCCACCGCCGAGCCTGCCCAAGCTATCGAAGATCGCTATCGGCAGCGAACACGTCATTGCATTCACGGAAAAGGGCGATGTGCTCGCTTGGGGATGGGGAGAACACGGCAACTGCGGGCCGCAAGTTGAGAACAACGATGTCAAGGGACGGTGGAATGTCATTGCATCGTCGAGATTTATTCCCCCTGGTTCTAAGATTGCGGGTATCGGCGCGGGTTGCGCGACTAGCTGGGTGACTATCATTACCGGTTGAGCAAATGGTTCAAACATGTTCCCGCCCGCTATGGGCTTTTCGAACTCGGAACAAAAGCAACGGCATGAGCTTCTCGTGCATCTCAGCAAATTATGGGCCTTGATAGAACAGGCCCAGACGCCTTACATCGTCAAGGCGCTGTGTGGGCTCCAATCCTGCACTACTGGCTGGAGTCGCGTCGAATTCGCCATTCTCTTCAGCGACAGGGCGGGCCAGGTGCATAGAGGAAGCGGTCTGGCGAGACGCGTGCGTCAATGGCATGGCCCTAGATAGAATGACCGGGTGAGGGAGACTTACAGGCTGATTACTATGATCCCACCCTAGTCTGGCATCTTCCTCTGGATCATCGTCCTCTTCATACCTGACGGGCTCCCATGCCTGTTCATCCTGGTCGTCCACAAACAAGCTTTGAGAAGCCATAGTAGCGGGAGGCGGTCGCTGTGACGGCCGTAAGTCGAATAATGAAGTTCGCGCGGCGATTCCACTCCGTGATGCAGACGCCGCCAGCGGTGGAGGCGGCATGCTCTGCGCGGGCGGTTGCTCTTGGGGTTGCGGAGTTTCAGACGGCGCGGCACTCTGTCTTCTAGACGCGGCTTCGAGCTGCTGTTGCGGAGCCGCTTGGGCACCCTTCGCCTTGCCCCTCTTCGTCTTCTGGGCCGGGTTGCCCTTCTCGCCGACCGTCATCAGAAGGAACTCGCAGCTTATGCCGTCGCCGGGATACGTGAACAGTATCGGACGCGCCGGATTGGAGTACCGAGCAGAGATATGGTTGCCAGTGATGCCGGCATGCTGGATAATGGCTCGGAAGTCCTTGACGCTTATGACGATGCGGAGCTTGTCTTCGATTTCGATGTCTTCGAATTCGTCAACCTCGATGGCGATTGATGTATGTAGTGGTTTCTTGAGGACCTCTACATCTGATGTTAGCATTAATAGAAACCCAAGGACGCTGAAATCCAACCGTCTCCATTTGTCGTCTTCTCCGTGAAGCATGTGAAGTTGACATGTTCGCCGTCTGAGTTGATGTCCAGAAGCTCGACCCCAGGACCAAAATGTTCCATCAATTGCCTCAAAGTCCGCGACGGGATGGTCCAATGATGAATCGCTTCATCACGGTCGAATTTCGCGTGCACTGGCACCGCAACCTCGAACGGCAGTCGATGTGTAGATGTGACACCTACATCATCAATCAGTAGCCGCTTCTGGATCATGCCAACTCAGGGCGTAGAAGCGCACCGTTTCGGAAGACTAGCTTCACAATGAAGCGGCTCTTGACACCGGGACCGTCTTCAATAGCGACATCGCAACGGTCGATCGTGCTCTCCTTCTCGCGATCACGCTGCAGATCGCCACCTGCGCGGCTTCTAAAGATGGAAGCAAGTGACTATAGAACGATAAGACTCTGTTTGGGCGCATAGCGAAGTATGACGGAATAGCTCACCCTGATATACAGAGTGCAGTAGAACTTGTCCCGGTACTGCGCACTCCCCTCGAACTGGTAGCGAGAGCAGAAGCGATTGGTGGTAAATGTGAAGCAGGAGTAGGCTGACTTGGATGCGTTGAGTGCAGTGAGAACCAACTACATGCCTTTCCGTTAATATCCGGGCTCGTCGCCTGCGGTGCTTCGACGGCGTGCGACTGACCTTGTCCTTCTTGGCTTCCAGGGACACCTCGTCACTGAACTTGTTCAGGCAAGCGAGGACGTCGCGAAAAGCGGCCACAGCGTCCTCGCTGAGTGTGAAGTTAAGGATTGCCATCGTGGCACCACAGTTTCCGACACCGAGGTTTATGAGATCATTGAGGCTGAAGTCATGAACGCTGAATTCGATCCAAGTTCATTGCGTTTGCATCAGTGAGAGAGAGGGGCGTTGGTCATAGGCGAAGCGCGTCGGGGCGTAAAGTGGTCGTTGGGGTCAACCAGTCTCAGTGCGGGGCGCTCTAGCAACTTACTTCCCTGAGAAATCCGACCACAGCAAGTGCACTCTACAGCAGCTCCTGCTCAACCCCGTTGCTTCACCGCATCCTCATCTTCATCACCGTACACTCTTTACAGAAAAACAGCGCATAGTAGATAGGAGAGATGAAAGCTGGAAGCCTGCCCACCTCCAAACCGTACCAGTTGTGTGGCACCCTCACGCTGAGAATGAGGCAATAATGCTGAGTATCGACGGCCGGGAAAGCGTTTGGTTAACCAACAAGCTCTGTGACCGGAGATCCCATCAGTGTTCAAATGTTTGGCAGCTTATAATCATGTTATTTTTTACCGTAGCCTCTCATTTTTCATGATTTTTGCGACATTTTGTATGAAGAAGACAATAAACACAAGGCTCAATAACTGTTGGTTGTAATCGCGTAAAGTTGTTGCAGGAATTCTTCTGGTGCCAGGTTTCTTCGATCTCACACTCTCAAACTGGTATCATTGACAGCCATTCACTCCATCAACGTCGAGTCCATAGGCAGAGCTCTCGGTGGGCATACCGGATTGGCCTGATTAGTTCATTCATCAACATGTGTAACTACGTCCTCCTCATTCCTAAGTGTCAGCATAACCCCATTCTTCTCTTCAATGCCTCTTGCCATCTGGTATTTAAAGAGTTGCAACACATCAACCGACCCGCTGTCTGGGACGGCAGCGCCTTGATCAAGATTCCTTTCAGAGTGCTCGAGCCATGCCACCCCGACCTACACAACATTCGGCCGATTTACATGAGTGATTCATGCCCATGAGCTGTCGACATATCCCAGAGGTTTACGTAATAAACAGCATACCTTCCCTCTGCAGAGTCTCAGTCTGTAAGGTATCGACTGGACGAGTTTACAGTGATGAGAACATCGCTAGCATAGAGCCTAGGAGCAAGGAAGGGGTGGTGATGGAAAAAACCTCGTCAAACATAATTATTAAATCGTCATTATTCAGGCAGATTTATGAAGAAAGCGAAGAGGTGATGGGCAAATTCATCATTGATCTTCTATCTAGAGATCAATCTGACATAGATCAGGACAGTAGAGCATAAGGTCGAACGTCTGGGCTGTCAGAAAACAGGCCGCTGTGTTTAGTCGGTGTACGATTCATTGGCTGGAACTTGACCAAATTAGTCGGAGGCAGAAAACAACTCTGACTTGATCCATTGATGCCGTAGTCTTCTTCGATCTTTCACAATTGAGAAAATGTAGACCTTGTTCTCCTCGATTTGATCATTCACTTCTTCGTGTGGAAATGGGCTTTCGAACACCAGCACCTATTCACTTTGCACGAGGTCGCATGAATTAACGGTATAAAAGGAGTTTGAGCCTGACGATATAGAAGGAATAATTCTCAGCATATTGAGCGAAAAATTTCATAATAATTGAGAGATACTATCAATTCAAGCTAACATGGACGAAAGTTACAGCATTCCAGCGAGGACAACGAGGAGTGTCAAGCCAGTCCTTCATGTTGACATTTGGGATGCTATCTTCGACCAGCTTGCTCTGCAAGGACACCATGGGAGTCTGGCAAGTTGTGCTCTTCTAAATAGAGAGTTGTCTGAGCTAGCTTCTCGACGCCTCTACAGGTAAGTCAAGACCCGTAGAGAGAATATGGAAATGCATCGTCGGCCCTGTGCTATCCATCCTCGCCATTGGAGACTTTTTTACTCACCAGGTAACAGCGCGCAGCTTTCCTCTCCCACGAATTGGGGCACGCCGTCAACGGATGGCCTATGGGACACTCTGTCTGCTGGCGTGCCGGGGTACCAGGGCTTTCCAGTTACGTACCCTTACCTGCTTTACATACGCCATCTGGACCTTCTCAACTTTCTCTCAACCCGCGGGTGCAGACTCTTCCCCGAGCCAAGATTCATTGCCCAGATCCTTCGTGAGGCTGCCCAGCAGAACCCGACGACTTATCAAAGCATCGTCGCGGCGCACCGCATCACTGCCCATAGCCCGGACGTCGAATACTACAGCCGTAACCTCCTCTGTGAGCTGCCTCACTTGGCTAAGAGACGAGACTTGCGGGTCATGCTCAGGAGTTTGACCGCAGATAGGTGGGAGACGATCCAGCCCGTCATACGTGCCTTTCAGGAGCTGGAAAGTCTTTCCCTCGTCTTCTTGCAAGGCTTGGATGTATTCGTGGCTGCAATAATCACCAGACATCTCCCAAAGTTGACGAGGCTTTCAGTGGTACAGGCCAACGACTCTCACGTTTCTTCCTTTGCATCTTTCTTCTCGAACCTACAGTCGAATCAGCTGCGCTCGTTTGGCTGTTCCCTCAACAACATCCGGGTGCCACTTTTGGAGGCAATTCCGCAGCAGACTTGTCTCCAACAGCTAACCTTGAATTTCCTAGTTAACCCGCCCTTTGAGTTGCATCAAATCTTCGAGCTGACGACCTTGACGTCGCTGACCCTCAGCCTCAACTTCTCGCCGTCCAGGCCTGAAAGTGCTAGATTCAAACGCTGGGCGGAAGAGAACCGCAGTGCCGTTGCTTCTTGGCTGACATCTTGCCAGGGACTCCGAAACCTCCACCTCTTCCGCTTTCCAGTCCTCGTTCCCGCCCTCGCTGATGCTCTTCCTCACTTACATCTTCATAGGTTGCACATTTTCTCGACAGGGTGCTACGAAGACTTCTACAAGGCACTCGGGACGCAGAAGCTGGAGTATCTCTTCCTGGCCGAGTGTCCCGACAGAGACACCACCAACCCTACTCTAGGATGGAAGGTACGGAGCTGGCTCACTATGAACGCAGTGATGGCCATGCCGGGTCTTCGGGACTTGCGGCTGCACACGTACTTCCCTTTGGGATGCCAAGAGCTCGAGGACATTGCCCGAAATGTGCCGAGGCTCCAGACTCTCTCCTTTGTCGGCCTAAAAGGGGAAAATCCGACTTGGACGCTCCGCGCTCTCGAGAGCTTCAGACACCTCACCAATCTAACAGTGCTGGGCCATACCACATTCTCGGCGCGCGAGGTTCTCTACTGGGTCGACTACTTGCAGTGCCACCGGCGCCCTGGCGGCTTCTCGCTGAGCTTGCCTGCACAGGACCGGCGGTCGTGGTACAGGGAAATAAGAATCTCGGACGGAGTGCTCCATGTCGTCAATGACCCAGCGACGGAGAGCCTCAAGGAGATGCTGAAGTTCCTGGCCGTATACGCGCGGCAGCTAATCTGGCGAGGGAACGACTACGAGTCTGACGAGGATCGCATGTTTGTGCATCTTTGGAACGACATCAGGGGCCCGGCGGAGGCGCTACAGCTGCTGAGGGGCTCGGGGCCTTATCCGCCGTTCAGAGGTTTGATGGAGAACATGGGCGAGCGCATTGCTTGAGCCATGACCTTTATTAGGTGACTGCACTTAATTAGTAATTGATACCAATCACAAGTTCATAGCATGATGGAGGATGACGTAAAAATCAAACATAAGAGCAAAGTACGCTCGTGAATCTACAAACTCACTCACACCACCAACCCCTCGAGATATGGAGAAAGAGATGATCAGAGACACTCGCAACAAGGTTTCATCGGCCCAAACCACGAAATGCCATGTGAATCAAACAAAAGCTCCTTTGCCGATTACTCTGAGATTTCGATCCAATTAGATATCCAGGGCGACCAACGGCAGCTAGCTGATCCTAACCACATTCGGGCTCCCGAGCATGAAGGGGGATATGATATGGGTTTTATCTACCCAACCTCTCCCCGCAGATGCGCGCCCACCTGATACCGTCTAAGCCAACGGCAAGCAGTCCAGCTGACAGCGCGGGCGAGACCCTGGGAGGAGTTTGTGTGAGGCTCAGCCCAGCCCGCAACGCAAGACCAATCCTCTAATTAGCTCGCAAAGTCATCCAGTGGTCCAATCTAAGGTTCGGTGGGTGGAGGGGGAGGGCGAGATGGCACCTGTGACCACGGGATGACAAGGCGGGCGTGATGTCACAGCACATGGCTAGAATGGTGGGGATTTAGGGGAGCCACTCACAAGTTACTCCAAACGTTCCCAAGCTCCCAATGGACGCGTCGGGATTGGCAGAAGACGGTGAACCCTGCAGCGAAGGAGGCACCTCGTGAGGTCCGTGACCTATTGCCTGAATTGGAACCTGGAAGAGAGACACCACGGAGCTATCCCCCAAGGTAGGTGACCTGGAAAGATTGTCAAGGCACCTGGGCTTACTGCACAGCAGAAGCGATAGTGGCGGGGCTGCCTGGCTCGGCTCCGTCATCTGAAAAGAACCACCCCCCCGTCACTTACCTACCTTAAGGTACCTTATCAACCCAGACAAGAGTCAGCTCCCAAACCCTCCCCGGCTTCACCTGCGACAAGGACCGAAGGAACAGCGAACGAGATACGAACCCTGCTGCGTTCGACACGCAAAGAGGACCTAGTCACGTCCCAACATGGTAAGCACAAACTCTTCCAAACTCTCCCTCATCCCAACAATCGCCTTTTAAGCTTGAGGTTTTCTTTACGCATCCGTAAGTGGTCAATCATGGTTAACACCGCGAACGCGCAGTCCTCTGAACGGACGCCCCTCATCAATGACCGCCGCGAGGGCGACGACAGCGACGACTCCTCCCCACCCCCAGGCCCCTCGCGCCTCCGCGAAATCGTCCTGTTCGCCTGGGCCCTCCTCGCCACCGCCGCCCTCATCGTTCTCGCGGTATGGACCCAACACCGGAGCTCGACCAGGTTTCCACCGCCAGGCGGTAACACAGATGGCAAGCGCAACCTCATCTTCATGGTCTCCGATGGCATGGGCCCGGCCTCTCTTTCCCTGACGCGCAGCTTCCGCCAGCACGTAGAGGGTCTCCCCGAGGACGACGTCCTCACCCTCGACAGGCACTTCTGGGGCTCCTCCCGCACCCGCTCCTCAAACTCCCTCGTCACCGACAGCGCCGCCGGCGCTACTGCCTTCTCCTGCGGGAAAAAGAGCTACAACGGCGCCATCTCAGTTCTCCCCGACTACGAGCCCTGCGGCACCGTTCTCGAGGCCGCCAAGCGCGCTGGCTTCATGACCGGCCTTGTCGTCACCACCGACATCACCGATGCCACACCCGCCTGCTTTGCCAGCCACGTTATCACCCGCGCCATGAACGACGACATCGCCCTCCAGGAGGTCGGCGACGGTCCCCTCGGCAGGGTCGTCGACATCATGCTCGGCGGCGGTCGCTGTCACTTCCTCCCCAACGGCACCGACGGCAGCTGCAGACTGGACAACACCGACGTCGTCAAGAAAGCACAGGACGAATTCGGCTGGACATACGCCGGCGACCGCGCCGCCTTCGACGCCCTCGAGGGCGGCGAAAAGGTCTCGTTCCCGCAGCTCGGCCTCTTCGCCCACTACGATATCCCCTTTGAGATTGACCGCCGCAACATGAGCGACGTCTACCCCAGCCTGAGCGAGATGGCTGCTACGGCCCTGCGCGCCCTCGAGAAGGCGACGGAGAACAGCGACAAGGGCTTCTTCCTGATGATCGAGGGCAGCAGGATCGACCACGCCGGCCACATCAATGACCCCGCGGCCCAGGTCCGGGAGGTCCTCGAGTACGACAAGGCCTTCAAGCTCGTCTCCGACTTTGTTAAGGACAGCAAGACCGAGTCTCTGTTGGTGGCCACCAGCGATCACGAAACCGGTGGCCTTGCCACTGCTTTGCGTAAGTTTCCAAGTTTTCGTCCAGCCCTCGAAACAAATCTGTCTGCAGCCAGCTAATCTCTGACGTAACAGAGGAGCCTGGACACCTCCCTGTCTACAACTGGTACCCCAAGGCCCTCGCAAGGGCTACCGCGTCCGCCGAGCTGCTCTCCAAGAAGTTCCTGCAAAAGATCGCCGCCAACGGCGGCAAGCCTCAAAATCAGGAGGAGCTCAAGCAATGGATCAACAAGGAGCTCGTCATCCCCGGCCTCGGTATCAACAACGCGCACCCTGAGGAGCTCCAGGCCCTCGTCGACTACCCCGAAGTGTCGGTCCAGACATTTGCCGCCATGATCAGCCTCCGCGCCCACGTCGGCTGGAGCACCCACGGCCACACGGCGCTCGACGTAAACGTCTACAGCACCGGCGGCGAAAAGGCCCAGAAGATCCGCGGCAACATTGAGAACACGGACGTCGGCAAGTTCCTCCGCGGATACCTCAACGTCGACGTCGATGCTATCACCGAGGAGTTGAAGGAGAAGATGAACAAGAAGCAGCTCGGCGCCATGAGCTTGCAGCAGCAGCAGATGTCGGCCATGGTCGAGGACCCCGGCAGCTGGAGCCGCAGTCAGAGCTTGGAGTACGCCCACCTACTGAAGGCCGGCGCTGCCTAAGTCGAGACTCATAGCATTGGCAGGAGAGCCGCCCTGAGTCATCGAGTGGCGGCCAGGGTGGAAGGGGGCATGTGGCATTACTGGAGTTACCGGACGTGTTGAATTAAATTTTTTTTGGGAGCATAGGGGCCGCTGTCCCGATTCGCTGGAACACGATCTAATCATAGCAACAAACGCGCAGCTATAGAGCAATGTATTCACATCAATCAGACATGACATCAAAGTCTATTGTTTATTGGCCATAATGTGCGAAGTGAAGAAGTAAGAAGGGCCCTCATCAAGCACGCCAGGCACGGGAACATCAATACACGCCGTAAGCCATGGCCACGAAATGGCTCGAACTCAACGGGCAGTGTATAAGGGTACGAACTCGTTCTATGGAAGACTATCGACTCCAAGTATGGCCAATGCCCTGTCGACGCCCTAGCATCAGAGAATTCGAGTGCAGGACCCGGATCGAGTTCAGCCCTTTCACGACAAGTGAACAAAGGCGGGTGGCCTGATTCCTTACCGCCATCCTTTGATCTCTTGCGGCAGATTACATGATTGGTGCTGTCTCTTGTTTCCTCTCCCTCGCCGGAGATATGTGCATCCAGCCGCCTGCGAATGATTGGGGGGGTTGGGGGTTTGGCGGTTGGCTCATCCTGAGACTTCGAAGAGACTTACTCACCTTCGCAGCGAACCGCAAAAACGTGAGGTAAGGACCGCGCGGAGGCGGCCAGTTTCGCCTAAACTTTGAAGGTTTGGAGATGTGATGTGATTTGTTGTTGGCGCAGCACATGTGATGAACCGTGCTTGGCCTTGCTCTGCAACCCGATCTCATCAGCCTGAACCAGCGGCTCCTGCCAATTTGGCTTTACCCCTGCCATTAACAGGGGGGACCGTTGTAAATGTTTGTTTGTCAATCGTGTTAGCCGAGTGCGAGATGCGAAGGTGGGTAGGGCCACGCCGTTGGCTGCTGTTGGTGGAGAGTTGGGCGAGGGAGAGAAGAGAGAAGATCGGTAGGTCGTGGTGGATTCCCTGGGTACACGATCCTCGGATGCCATTGTTTCCGGATCTTCGCTGCATTGGCTAAACAAGGGCCAGAACTGAATAATATGGCCTTGATGCAGAGCTTCTCTTCTTCGGCCGTATATCCAAAAGCCTGTACGCGCGCGTGATGGGATGATGGGGTTTGGACTGCATGTACCCGGCATGGAAAACAGGAAAAAAGAGATTTCAAAAAAATAAAGTCGGACAGTGGCATAGTATATCGAGTCCCAGTTCCAAAGATTCCCGGAGTTATTCCCCGTTGCGGGTGGAGGACTGCATTGAACATTGCCTCGTCATGCAATCTGATACTCGTTGTAGTTGACGATTTCAGCGGCTCCTCATCCTTTGGGCGTTACGGCCGTAGTCATCGACAATAGGCGGGGATCGACGTATCGGCGGCTGTCATCCGCAGCCAACCGAGGGGCTCTGTCCACGTACGGTCTACCTAGGCCAGTCTGTCGTTCATCCAGCCAAGCGGGAATCCAGGGAACAATGTCAAGTGGCTTGCAAACCCGTTGTCTAAATGGGACACCCGCTCGTCAACGAGACCCTGCCAGTGGAGGATTTCTTGGTTGAAGCTCCGTCAGTTATTGGAGCAAAGTCTGCAGAGTCCGAGGTGACCCCTGGCTACGAGGAGGAAATGCGGCATATGCCTAGTCTGCGAAGGTGAGAGTTGCTCTGATAGCTATCGGGGCTGAAAGCGTCGCGGACAGGCAAGGTTGAGATCAGTGGTGCCCTCGTGTGACCCAACCCCGTCTCTCCCTCAACCCGAGGTTATGGACGCACTGTGCTCAGGGAGCAGGCATAGGAGGATCGAGTAGGAAGCCATATGTATCCGTGCAGTGCCTAGACAACAAACAAAGTCGTCGGCAGCCGTTCCCCAAAATGCACCTTCTTTCGTTGGAGGTTTTCGTGGATGGACTGTGCGTCGTGGCCGGCTGGGCTGAAGTCTGAAGGGAATGGCCATGGGCCTTGGCAATAGAATGCAATCTGATAGCAAGTGACGCAGCATCTCCAACGCTGCCAGGCTGTGGCTGCGTAGCATGTGAGATGCATGTGCAAGCGAGCGCCCCGATCGATGGGAGCGAAGGGAGGGGGTGGGTGGTGACTACTGTACTGCACAAATCTGCATGCAACATTTTCGGATGAACGTAGATAGGTCGCGAACAAGCATGCCAATCCCCGGGCTTGCCAACCTACTGCCCTGGCGCAAAATGCGTCCAGAACAAGAATGTTCGTAAGTTGGGGACTCGTAATATGTATGTTGGTCCAGCCAGAGCAGTTTGGCCCGAGCAACGACATGGGGGTTTAACCCTCAGGATTCTGCCGGCTAGGAAGAAAGCCGCAGAGCGCGGGGGCGTAGACGGGAGTGGGCGGAGGGGGCTCCGCGGACCGACACATAGGTAGTCTGATGGTGTAGTGCTGCCTCGAGGGCCAAGGGTTGCAAAGCGAATCTGGTGGCGTTCTCTGCCGGCCGGCGCGCATGTCTTGATTAGGAACAATGTTTGCTTACACCAGGAAGGGAAACCAACCGGAGCTTGTCATGGGTGTGTGTGGGATGATGGATCTGGCCTCACAGTGTGTGTATTGCGGACGTGCGAAGTCGGATTCCGATGTGGGAGTTGATACTGTGCCCGCGGACTGGCCTCCGTTCCATGGCGAGGCAGCTCGTGCAAGTCGTCGAGTCGCAGGGTCCAGATTGCGAGATGAGCTTCGGTGGAAGTCTGAATAGCGTATTCGCACCTAGGTAGTCGAGGCAAGGAACATGAAAAAAGTCAGTTCCGCGAGCCATGGGCGAAGAGGCAGCATCCGACTAGGTGTCGAATACTTGCTCCCGTTACGTCATGCTTCGGCACATTGCTCCGCTGCGAGCTAGGTGGTCCCGGATACAATGAGGAAAGAGCCATCTTCACGACCTGGACCATCCGAATAACAATTCAACAGGGGACGTGTGTGCAAGGTGACGCTGAAATGCGATGATCATATGATACATCCCAAAGCACTATAGGTACCTACTGGACCTTGATGTCCGCCAAACATGCCTGAACCGCACAAAAAAAAAAAAGGCCGCCCTCCTGTGATATCGCGAAGCTTGAATGGAAGACAGCATCGTCTCCTAGGGCTAAAGTTCCTGACCAGCGACCAATGCCGCTTCGTCGCTTCGTCGCACTAGAAACATGGAAAATGAGGATGAATGTGTCCGAAACGCCCTGACCGCTGTCCAACGCCCTGATAACATAATTTGTCCTGCCAACCCTACCCAGGCTCGTCTCCTTATCCATAACTACATTCTGCGAAAAGTGAATCTCTTGCTGTCGTCTGCTCATGATCCTCCTTCCAATCCGTCGCATGCTGCGTGCAGACGTCAGTGCCCGGAACGTTTTCGTGGTGCCGAGGTATGATCAGGAATTAGCCGTCCACACATAGTTGTTGTTCTCATCCGAAGCCTCGACGCCCGACTTGTCAACGGGATCATTGTTCTACATGACCGAAGATGACAGTAGTCGAGCGTCGACATCATCCATGGGCAGCTCCATGCTTCCACGGGCCTCCACGCCTTGTAACCGCGATTCCATGTTCTGGAAACGAGGCTCGTAGCCTCCCGCACGATTCTCGAGATTCTCCAGACGCTTGTTCATCGTGTCGAGAACTTGTTCGATTCGAACAAAGCCTTGATTCATGTCGTGGTTGAGGCGATCAATCTTATTGGTGAAGGAGCGGATCGACTGAGCTAGGGGGGTGTTTTCCTGCCCGGGAGGGGCGGTCGCGATGCGAGGCTCGTGGTTGTGACTACCCTCCTGAACAGCAAAGCGCCACTGATTTCCGAGCTGGACCTCGCAGACGGCCTTTGCACGCCATGGGCAGTCAACCTTGCGCGTCGAGGGGTTACGCTTCTTCGCGGTGCTGCTGTACTTGACGCCGCCGCGGTCGCATACCAAGTCGTAGCGGGTGGGTTTGCCGTCGCGGTAATTGGAGGCGCGAAGCTTGACGACTCCGTATCCCTGATCCTTCGCGACGCGCTGGACCGAGGTCAGAAGGTCTTCGAAGGTCCGGAAGATGCCCTCGGGCGGTGGTAAGAGCGCAGGCGGAGGCGCATTCGACATGATGACGGAGGAGTCCAGCTTGGCGGTTGTGAAGGGTAGGTGGGGAAATGGAATCAGTGGGTGAGGGATCCGGGGGAACGGCGGACGCGACGAAATCAGGGAATCGAGGGGCGGAAATATGAAGGCGAAGGTGGTGCGACAGCTTTTTGTTGACGATGGTCCTTCTTGGGGTGAATACCTTTCCTCAGAAGGGTTATAGCTATGTCGTGACGGAGCGGCAGGGAACACGGAGAGGTTGGAGTCAGAGAATTCCAATCCGCACGGTCTGAACTAGGTTGGCAGTTAATCCGCTCTCCGGCTAACCTTTCTAGCGAGGGTCAGCTTCCAGGATCCAGCTGCAGGCCTACAGGGCTTGGCGTTCCCGTTGCACGTACCTTGTGCCTGTCAAGTGTGTGTATCTGCAGGTTTGCTGAGAATCTGAGGGGGGTGAGACGGACGTTGTTGCAATGCACGATATTCTGTTGCTGGGTTGATGATGGTCCGTATGGGGGAGTGAGAATGATTGGAAGCAATGGGCATCCGCCTTTATGTATTCGCCTTCTTGTTTCTTCTCCTCCAAAGGTTGATTGCCTGGCCGGAACGCAAGCTGCACCTTCCGCCTCGGACTCGACATACAGGTTCACGTGACCAATCATCAATGGAATAGGTAGACGACGGGAGTGGTGAGGAAACCTACCTGGGTGCCTGGTAGCTGATAGTGATAGGTACCTACATAAGGTACACCTACCTTATGGATCTAGGCGGGATGTACTGACCCTGCGGGAAGAGTGGGGAAAGGGACTCGGTAGAACAACGCACCAACCACCTTGACGCGAAAGTCTGCTGGGACCCGATTCTGGCCCTGGCCGGATGAACTGCACGGTGCATCTGCGCCGCGTACCAGACACTGAAGACAAGAATCCATCACACAGTATCTCCGGCCCGTCCTCCATACTCCTTTTAGACCCCAACCGCTGAACCAACAGCTTGCATCGGCACGTTTGCCTCGTGGACCGTCGCATTCGAGACATTTGCAAACACTTATCCAGCCTTTACCGTTCCTCGACGTTCTTTCGGCTGCCATTGCGTGTTGCGCCTCAAGCTCTCGCTCCGCATCGCTTCCACCCACCCTCGCCGGTCTGCTCGTGGAAACGCCTCGGACCGTCGACTCGACTCTCAACTTCCGGTCCAAACACACCACACCGCCTGCTCGCTGGTCCGCCGACCGATTCGACCCTTCCTTCCTACCTTTCTTCTACGCCATGATTCAATAGACCCCTGTGTGTCTCCGACCAACTTGCAATACCATGGCAAACAACGGCCCATCCATCAAGAGTGAGCCTGGTACTCAGGACGCCGAGGTGTGGGATGAGGAGCGTCTCGAACAGGCACTAGACGAGCTCAAGCTCTTGCATATCAAAGTTTGTCATCCCAACCGCGCAAACGGATGGATCACGGAACTGACCTCTTGCGAAGCTTCGCGGGTTGCGCACGACGATCCCAAGAATGATGGAGCCTTTGTCCATCAAACAACCAAGTCGTACGTCTGAAGCCTTTCCTAACATGCTTCGTCCACTAATTCCATATTATCTAGCTCAAATCACGTTCCAATCGTACATGGAATCGGTGGCTGCGGCCAAGAAGGAGGTGCAAGACTTCCAGGACCTCAGAAAGAGCGACAAGGTAACGGACATTATGGAACATGCCACACAACGTCGGAAAGAGGAGCCAAATGGCATTAAGGCATGGCGTGTGACAGACCACCCAGACTGGACAACAACGGACTCCTGAAGCCATCTTTTCTGGGGGTAGGATGTATCAGTCAGTACTTATGGCGTTAGGTCGGCTAGCATGCGGGAAAGGGATCATCGTTTGGGTAGGTCATGGCTTGATGGAGTAAATATGGGCAAATGCTTAGGTTGGGAAAAGGGCTTTGGGAACCCGTTGTAAACTATATGCGGGGCATATTCGAAGATGTCAGGCAAGAAGCAGTCGGAACTCGAATCCGAGTTGAAATAAAGCGACGCTATCAACTATGTATCTTCAGAGCAGAGAATCAGGGGAGTAATTTCTTTAGGTATCAGACTCCAAGGCAGTCGAGGTCACGAAATCAGTGCTGCCACAGCTGGCACACAGCGGGTCGCATTCCATTCCGCACTCGCCCAATTGGCCGTCCACAGTGACTCTTCTCCAAAAAAAAATGTTAGCGCAGCTGGCACGTGAGCTGGGCTCAGTCCGGGGCTTTCCAGCTGGCAGCAGCCACCTGTGGCTTGCCACTCACTGCCCCCGCCTCATTGGTCGACTAAGCGGGCTCTATCTCATCTTTCCACCCACACAAAATTTCGAGAAAGCACGAAAATCCGCTCGCGATCCTCGACTCTCAACTAACCAACCCGCAGCCCGCAGCAAATCAGTCACAATGGCCGGAAACCGTGTCCAGTACCGCCGCCGTAACGGGTGAGTGATCCCTTCTAGAGATGTTGAACACGATCGAGTAAACGAGAGAACGACATTACTCTTTCCCCGCGCTCGCAAAGAATGTGCTTGGTGGATAGACTGGGAAAAAGAGGCTGACCTGGAAAATTTCCGCGTGCAGCTACAACACCTCCTCCAACCTCACCCGCATCGTCAAGACCCCGGGTGGTGAGCTGAGAATCCTTCACATCAAGAAGCGCGGTACTGCCCCCAAGTGCGGTGACTGCGGTGTCAAGCTCCCTGGCGTAAGTTCGAACCCAGCACCGAAGCCGAAACGAACGATCCGAGAAGCCATCTGAGAGAGCACGGGACTTGGGGGTTGCCATTTGGTCATGGTCATGGCTTTACTAGGAAAGAGATGCACCTTGTCTCGGAGGTCATGTTGAGACTTGTTGCAAAGGAGGATGGCAAGACTTGAGGGACCGGCGCTCCCAGATGGCAACGACGAATTTCGATTTCGAGCGGCTTGTAACAACTCGGACGGCATGCTAACTTGACCGCCATAGGTCCCCGCCCTCCGCCCCCGCGAGTACTCCCAGATCTCTAAGCCCAAGAAGACCGTCCAGCGCGCGTACGGTGGCTCGAGATGCGGTAACTGTGTCCGCGACCGTATCGTCCGTGCCTTCCTCATCGAAGAGCAGAAGATCGTCAAGAAGGTTCTCAAGGAGCAGAGCCAGAGCGAGAAGAAGAAATAAACCCGACGCATCTCTTCTTGGTCACGTCAACACAACACTGGCAGGATGGGAATAAGGGGTTGGTTCATTGCTTCGGTGTTCATTAGGGCAAAAACAGCATGATACAAAGGATCGTCGGGCCACGAGGCGGATTGAAACGGTTCTTCTTGCCGACGCTGTCGTTAGGGCACTGTTAGGCCTCGATACCTGAATGAAAACGGAAATCGAGCCCTTCAACAACACAATTCTTATTGGTCATGTGGGATTCCCGTTCGTTTTTCTGTGACGGACGACAACCCCGCGGTGTCTGGTCGTGGCGCCCCAAAAAAAAAAAAGTGGTTTACTCCCGAGATCTGGATTATGACAGCGAAATTGAACTTTTCTCGCCTTTACGATCTGATAACTTTGTTTGATTTAAATACTTCCTGCCTAGGAAGTCATCATAGGCTGCTTGTCATATTCGCGCTTGACTTTAGTTCCTCCCGTCACTGTTCTTCGTGCCTAGACCGGCATCCCAATCAACCCTGTAATCATGACGTTCAAGACACCGAGGCAGCGCTCCCGAAAAAAAAAAAGTTGCGGCTTGCTAGCTCTACCAAACACAACCATATCACAACCGAACAAACTTGTGTAAACGAGACAGACTTTGGCACTCAAATCACCATAGCATCTGCCCTTCAAGAGAGACACGCGAACGAACCGATGAACAACTTCGCGACGACCCGCGCTCTCCGCGCATTTGCGCGCGCACAGCGCACCGTCTCCCGATCCATCCCTCGAGCTTCGCCGTCATCATTACGACCCTCCGCAGCTTCCGCCCAATCAGTTTGCCTGCGCAGTCAATTCCACACGACCCCCTCCAGGTCAAGAAATGAGAAGCCCAAGGACTACCAAGGAGTGACAGACTTCAGCGAGATGGACGTTCTGGCCAACACGCCGATCCCATCGACCTCGATCGACGCCTGCGTATGGGATGGCTTCCACCTGAACAGCGGTGTGAAAATCATGGACGGTGGCGCCGCGCTGCTCATCGGCGGCGAGGCATTCGAGTGGAGGCCCTGGGAGGCGAAGGGGTCCAAGAATCTGATCAACGCCAAAGGCCAGTTCGAGCTGCCCGCCGAAGCATTCGGACTGCTAGATCTGGTCTGGCCGAGACCTGGTGCGACTTTTTTTTTTTTTCACCCTCTACTCTCTATTTATGTTTCGAGGGTAGACAATTAACTGACTGCCGCCCTCCTAGACCTTCTCATCATCGGTGTTGGTCCCAAGATCGTACCGCTCAGCCCGACGACGAGGAAGCACCTCAGCTCGCTCGGCATCCGCGTCGAAGTTTTGGATACAAGAAACGCTGCCTCCCAATTCAATCTGCTTGCCACAGAACGAGGTGTTGATATTGTCGCGGGCGCGATGATTCCCATCGGATGGGTCGAGGGCAAGGGGGCTGTATGAAGTGCAGGCGGCGGATCGGGAAACCTTCAACTCGAGTCATGATGAGTTGAAGCTGGGCTGCCCATTTGGGAACACACGTGTGTGAACAGGAGGTCATCCACACGGCAGTCTCATGGTGATCCAGGGGGAACGACGGTCAATGACAGAGATTTCAGTTGAACATCGCCCATGGCAAAATCTCGACTGTTTTAACCTACAGACCATTTATTTGTATATCTCTTGGCAATGACTGCCACAGCTGTACCACCAAATTTCTTCGACGGGGTCACGGAAACGCTCCGTGACCATTACCAAAAACTTTTCCCGCCAAAGGACTACTTATATTACGCATATATTGGTTACCTAAATGCAATGTACAATACCCATGATTCATCTTCATTTGATACGTAATCAGCCTTGCAGGACCCTCCTGTACAATCCAGGATTGGCAGGGCGTTGCAATTGGGTAAAAAAATCTAGATGCAAGGAAACCAATGACAGTGTTTTCCCGGGCCCAGGTGGAGGAGGAATGACGAACTGTTGGCTGAAAATGAGCAGTGACATAAAATTGCCAAAAAGGCAAAGGTTTGCCGTGCCCGCCCACACCTGCGGCCTGTCCCACCTTACCTGTCTATCGAGGCGGCTCAGCGCTCACCTAATACCAGCGCGTTCTCACACCTTATCTCCTCCCTCCACTCATTCCGCTCTCACTCACTTCGATCCCAGTGATAGAACTTGCCTTACGAACGGCCTGTTCCGACCACGTTCTCGCCTGCCTTTCGTCAGTCGATCTCCGCGACGAAACCTGCCCCGCGCGTGTGTCCCTCACAATTTGAGCAAAGGAAACAAAAAGCGTCCGCTTTTGTTCCTCCTGCAGTGCTGCTGGGCCTCGCGCCCAGAAGCACCAGGTGCGACAGACAAGTCAACGAGGACCGCTTTCCGCCTCAACTGGTTGACTCACATTCCCGCCCAGTGTCACCGACCACGTTGCCGCTAATCTCGTGGCTCCTTCTCCTGTCTTGTTGATTCCGTCCGAACACGGCTGGTCTTGAGATCACCGCTCTCGACACATCGCGTCCGACCAACGAAAGAAGACCAGACATTTTCTTATAGCGCACCACGTTCAGAGATACCCGCGCATTATCCGGTCTCCATTATCCATCACCCATTGCGCTGTTTAACTTGAGTTTATCACATTCATCGTCCTGCGGTGTTACTGCCTGGTTACGCGCTCGAATTTCGGCACCTCAGGATCCCCTCCACCGTCAACATGTCGGACCAACAACAGGGCGCGGGCTGGTTAAGCATCGCCAACCCCCATGACCCGGAAGCTACCGATCCGATCTTGCTGAAGGAGAACTCGGAGAGCCGCTCATATACCACAGGGCGCTATACCTATTCTGGCATCAGGACGTTCTACAAACGACACCTCCAAGCAGACCAGCTACCCAACCCACCCCTTCCCCTGCTCGTCTGTATCCACGGACTGGGAGGATCAGTGGCTCAGTTTCACCCGCTGTTGACGAGCCTGGTTCACATATCATCATGCCTAGCCATCGACTTGCCTGGGTGTGGTCGCTCCGAGTTCACCCAGCAGGCGTGGGACGCCTACACCCCGGAGGCGCTGTGCGAGCTCTTAGAGGTCATTATTGATGAGTACCGTCAGAAAGAGTCTGACCGCAGCGTCGTCCTCATCGGTCATAGCATGGGGACTGCAATGTGTGCACAGCTGGCGAGTCGTAATGCCCTGCACAAAACGGATCTTCGAAAGTACGTCGTAGGACTGGTCGCGATCTGTCCCTTAGCCGGTCCGCCGACAGAAGACATGACGACGTTGTTTAGGAGGCTCCTTTGGGTACCCGGCTGGATCTTTGATCTGTGGAGAGCCTATGACCGGCGGGGAGGCCCGCAAAGCGCCAGCGTAACTCGATTCGTCGGCCCGGGTGCTGACCTCGAGCTCCGCAAGCTCCAGGACCGTTTCAACAATCAAAGCCGGACGCCCGTTTGGCGCAGGATGGCCTGGGGATCACTCCCGACCTATGAGAATGGAGTTGCGAAAGGTGGCGTCCCTGGCAAGGACGTGTGGGCCGGCGTTGACGTTCCGGTTTATCTCGTTGGTGGAAAGGAGGACAAGCTGACGAAACCCGAGGAGGTGGACAAGGTCAAGGAGTACCTCTCAGAGAAGGCGCCTCTATCACCCGAGACTGGATCAGACGATGGCCACGAGGCAATTGTCGACGCGGCGGCACCGGTCGACACATCAAAGAATCCGACGGACCACGGGCCCGAAAGTATAGATGATATTCGAGACGAGGACTTCCATCGAGATCGCCCAATCAACGAAGACGCAGAAAACGCTTTTGAAGATCCATCGACGCCGCAAGAGTCTCCCGCAAACGTCCCGCCTCAACCCCGGCATCCTACCAAGGTTGTCAGGTCAATCATCATGCCTGCGCCAGCTAATCATGCCCTTCTGTTCATGCCTGCTACAGTCAGAATTCTGGCCGGTCTGATCTCCGACTTCCTTGCCAACCATGTCACTGGTCGTCTGTCTCTTGGGTGGCAACTGCAATATCTCTCGCGGGAGGGCAAGTGGGATGTGAAGAACTTGGCCAAGTGGAAGGGCGTTGTCCCCGTCTCTCACCCCATCGGTCCAGAAGGTAGCCCACCGGTCTTTAGAGCGATGAAGACTCTACGAGAAGCAGATGACACTCATTGCCCTGCTGAGTTTGTCAAGAACTGGGGAGGAATCATCAAGGACGTGATTGACATCAGTCACGACAAGCCGGTGTACGACCCGCGGAGCATGGAAAAGGGAGGCGTGCGGTATCACAAGTTCGCGACGGTCTCAAAGATTCCGCCCAAGGACTCGGAAGTAGCTCACTTCATCTCAATTGTGGATAAATTGCGAGAGCAGCAAAAGGCGAGGGCCGAGGAGGAGAAGTGGGCCGAGGTGGAAGGTCAGACGCAGGTCATTGGAGTTCACTGTCACTACGGCTTCAACCGCACCGGATACTTTATTGTGTGTTATCTGGTAGACCGATGCGGAATGTCCGTCAAGGACGCAATCGAGACGTTCAAGGAAGCGAGGCCTAATGGGATCCGCCATCAGCACTTCAGAGATCGGCTCTATCTGCGGTATTCGGGGCTCCAGGAAGAGGAGCAAGAAGAACAGCAGCAGAACAGTTGATGAGGTTCTCCCTGGAGGATTTTGAACAGGAGGTCCTTTGTGGATATGGAAGGTCGGGGGTGTTTCAACAGGCAGCGTCACTGATTAATGATAAACATATTTATTCAACCCCGTGGTTGACAGCATAATGAAGTTATCTATATACTTAGGCTTTCACGGTTTGATTCAAACATCCAGAGCCAGAATTTTGAGTCACGAGCAGTGGTGTTCCTCAATTACCACGACTAGTAACTTTCTGGGCAGCCGGATGTCTCTAATTGAGTTCCTCAGTGACAAAGGCCAAGATAGGAGACGGCTCTTGAGCAACGAAACACAACATGGAGCTCTTCCCTGTCTACAAGAAAATTGCAGTTGAAGCGTTTCCAGCAAGCTACCTATTTACCTTGAATGAGATCAAGATTCGACATCAATCCAGCCAATGCATTTGCCAAGTATCAACACATATCGGTCAACCAACGAGCCGGTATCAGTATCAGTCCCAGCATTGGTGCCGAGAATAATACTGGCAGGAGAAAGAAGATTCAGTGCTCTAGCTTCTTCAAAATGATCTTTGCACCTGCCAAGGCCGCGGGCAGACTTGCCCGCGCCGGCCAACGTCACGGTCTTGCCGCAGGAGTCCATGCATGCGATCAGGTATGTCCTCTTGAAGCTGAGAGTTCGTGAGAAGAATGTTCTCCGCGGCTGCGTCGGAAGCTGGGGGGCAGAGAATGTGATTTTGAGAGGAAAGATATGGAGGTTCAGAGACGTGAGGCATAGGGATTTTGATCTCAAAGAGAATTTTTTGATTGGTACAGTCCCATATTTAGGCAAAACCACCTTCTCACATCCATCATCCAAAAACCTCGCCCACCTTGACACCCTTTACACATATTCGTAGGTTGCCAGCTATATTCATCATCATTCACCGGGTTCTCGTCAAGCTTTCAAAAACACTCAAAACATACACGTCATCCATCCCCGTCACTTGGAACTCCGTCCCCATCTGCAAAAGATAACGATGATCAGTGTGAGGCTTGAACTCACGGCCTTGGCATTACTTGATATATCTAGATGATATATTAGTACCACGCTCTAACCAACTGAGCTAACCGACCTTGAAACCGGGCTGGTTTGATACGATGCGGTTGTGTGAGTTGCGATGTGGAAGTTGCCCTAAGTGAGGCCCACGATGATGGGTCTCGGAGGCGGGTCTCGGAGGGGGTGGCCGGTTTGGTCCCGCTGGGCTCTGATGGGACCCCGCTGCTGGCAGAGGACTCGATAGCGACGTCTTCTTACACGTCTGATATTGGGAGATGCGAGAGTAAAAGCGTTATGTAGTTTCATGATAGGGTAATAGGAGTCTGGTATGGTATAGAGAGTGTGCTCAGGTCCAATACATCGTCACAACGTTTTTCGTTCTTACCGTATATCAACCAGATATTCACAACACGAACACCACAAATAATGACTTCGACTTCATCCTAGTTTAGTTTAAAAACGATGAAAAGTACGATGAGCCCTCAATATAAGTGCGAGAACCATTCCTGGCCTTTCGGTGATGAAATGCCCAGCTTTCAACTTCCAGCCACAGGCGCCTTTCTTAATCGATCTAAAGCTCTACATGAAAATAGGAATCATATTCCACCAAGAAGGAATACATTGCAGCAACGGAGAGGTCATTGATTCCGTAGGCGACATCTTAACGCTCGTCTACCGTCACTCGATTGCTTTACTACATGTAAGTTAAAGAGCTCCAAGTCATACCCCAAAGGCGCAATTGCGATTTAAGTATTCGAGGCAGCGATTCAATCAAAGCATGCGGGCTTTTCTATAAGCTTCAGGACCAGGTCTTTTCCCCCCCTTAACCCCCCTAACCTACGTCAACCAACGATCCGATAGCTCCTGAACCGTGAGTGAATTGTTTTCAAAGCGACTACAGGCTTCGAGATTCCGGCTATCTAGAACAAAGACTGATAGCTACAGTCTTGAGCTCATCAGAGAGGGAGCACACTGAATTTTAATACTTCTTTGTCGTTTACTAGAAGGTAGCACCGGCGAGGAAGAAACAAAAATACCCGCTGGAGTCCTTCGCTTTTCTCCACCGCATCCCCTGATATCAGTATACTCATGCCCTCTCTCTCCTCGGTAATCGAGAAGAGCAACATCTAAAGAGAGTATCAAGATAATATGGATAGTAGTAAAGGTTCCCTTTCTCTTACCTCCTGTACGTACTCAGCCAGGCTCTTCAATGGCTCCATGCTGGTAGAAGCCTGGCTGTCACTTCGACGGAGATGTAGCAGAACGCTTGCGACTTCAGCGGGTTTAGGGGACCCCTGCGTATCATTTACTGCCTCTGCAGGCTTCTCGTTTTGCCCCTGGATAGGGCCTTCAATGGCTAGCAAGTTCAACAGGAGCTTTTAGTAGATGTCCTTCTCTGAATCATGGCAAGCGCCAGTCATGTCAAGACGATACAAGGTCTGCTCAATTCCTGCGTTTTACCCTTGTTTCCTCCGCCCAAATGATTTGGGAATTGTCCCATGGATTGATTTCCTAGCCCAGTCTCATCTCATTCCGCTCTCATCACTCGCAAGTTGGCTTGTTTTCGCCTTCGGCAACGGTCGAGGCCAAAGTCAAGAGCGAGAGAATAAGTTAGAACATTATATTATCACGTTACAAAAACAACAGCACACAAATAGGTGACAAACTAAACCCGTCGCTGATCCATCGAAATTCCGTTTTTCATCACTACTGAACGTGTGTCCACAGAGAGAACATACCAAGAGGAAGTCATTCAAGAAGAGCAACTATAGTAGTGATTATAGCGATAGGAGGAAGTTAACAGGATTTATTGAGCAGTAGATGATCTTGTCACCACTTGGCACCCTCCTGGAAAACACTTGGCAATATCTTGAGAACGCCTGTATTCAGGGGCAGAACATCAAATCCAACAGCCGAAGCGCCGATAGTCATGAACGTGGAACTTCTGGACTGCCGCATGCCTTCTTTCCAGAAAGAGAACAATAATGAGGACGAGAAGTATGTCAGAAAATAGCATTGATGGGAAGCTTTAATCTTTGCATTATCACTCACTTGAATGCGTGTCTCTCTCCCCTTTCTGGTCGAGGCATACAATTGTATCTGATATTCAAGCGGTCAAATTCATCTATGGTTGTGGCATTTCTCACCATCGCAAGTGACCTGGATAGTCAAAAGAACCTTATGGCCTTGCGTCTGAGCGTTCAAAGCCGGGTCGAAAATCTAAATAACAGCGTTCGCGTCCAGCCTGAGAGACCAGCCTTACGACTCCTTAAATCATCATCAACCGAATGAGGAGATCACAACAAGCGTTGGGAAGACTGTAAGGTATCTCATAACTTCTCAAAGCCACTGAATCTCGTGCCTCGCATTCTTTTCGACTCGAACATGCTGGTTCGCAGGCGTTCGATACAACGCAATGGCGCAAAGGCAGATAATCTCTATCCATGTCACCAATGGTCTTCTACTCCAGGTTTTTATCCCTTATACCAAGCTTGCAGGTCCATAGCCAACGCCATCCATACTCTTCATGCTCGACATCTCACGCCGTCAAAACCAAAAACAAAAACGTTCGCAAGCGTAGAAAAGATGACCGGCGTGCCACGCTCCTAAACTACGGGGGAAAGTGGTAGCTTCGCACCAGAACAAATCGTCGGTAGACGAGAGCGGAGGGCGTGACTGGCGGCGGCCCTTGGATAGCTTCGCGATCTCAAAATGACGGACATTTGAACGGCTCGATCAGCGGCTCAATCGTCTAAACGCCACCTACCCTACCTCTCTACATCGTCTCCTACATCGAATCAACCCCGTTCAAAGTAACAAATCTAGCCCACACAGATCCAAACAAACATCATCTTCGTCTCGACGAACGGCGGACCGGATCGCGCACACCCATGTGGGTTCGAGAGAGAGGCGGGCGGCGGCCTCCTCGCGGGGGACGACACGAGATACCGCGGAAGCAAACAATGGTTCGATCTTCATCTGCGTAGCTCGTTCTTCGCGTTGATAACCAGGTACGAATTCGCATTCATTGGACATTCCACCCTGCCTTCTTCAAACTCTCTTTTCGAACTATCGCTGCTGTACGCCTTCGCAAGTCGAACTCGTTGAGGGACCGAATGCAAGCAAGCACACATCACATCACATTACATACCCGCATCCACATAGAACGCCAGATCTACAAAGCCTTCATCTCCCATGGCCCCTATCCACTCTGCAATACCTGTTTGACTCTCATATTAACCTTTCTCACATACAGGACAGGCCTCTTATCACCGCAAGACATACCGACAAACGGCCGCTAAGGGGAATTCTCGTGAAAAGAAATAATACGCCATCACACAGGCATGTAGTGAGCAGGGCACCAGACAAGGGGGTTCAACTGTCGACGTAGTACGTCCCAAAACGAACATCGTCCACCAACGGCGCGAACGAGCGAGCAAAGGGGCAATCTCCTCTCATGGCACGCGGCCAAATCGCTAACCTAGGCCCCCAGTCCACGAAAGCAAGGACGAAAGTCTCTCTCGCATCAATAACTTGCTTCGTGCCTGTGATGTGACCCGGCAGTCCAAACAGGCAGCTGCAGCGGGTCCTGCAGTGCTGCTGCCGTTGCCTCCATTCCGGACATCCACCCATCAGCCAGCCCCTTGCTCGTCGTTAGCCATCGCGAAAACCCAAAATCAGATGATCAAACCTGGCATGCACGCTCCTTCAAGTGGCCTCTTCGTGTCTTCGAGCGAGATCATCCGGGCTAGAGCATGCAAGCGCACGAGCAAAATGAAGAGAAAGGGACACTTCCTACTTCCTCCCTTCCTCCCTTCCCCCAGCCATGACAATCCATCACGGGTATCAGTTCAGCCCGAAGGAACCATCTGACAAGAGCCAGCCCCAGGCCCAACCCAGGCCCGCAGGCTGCGGGAACAGCAAAGACCAAGACCGGACTGCGGCAGCTACTGTTATTTTTCGAGACCAGACCGGGCCTGCATGTATCAGCACCAGCGCCAGTGCCAGCACTGTTCATCGTCAGTCAGGTGGCCGGGCGCGAAAACCCTCAAAGTCAGGTCGGTGACTGACTGGCTGGGCTACGTGTTCGACACGGCACGTCCTCACGCGCCGAGAACTGACCCTCTCCCCAGTCCGTGATGCCCACAACAGCTTCATCCTTTACCCGTCACTTCATCCTTTTCATAGACACACCCACACCCCCCTTCACTAGCTAGCACCCCTTCCCTCTTTCCCTATCTCTGCGCAAGACTTATCTCGGGTTCACGGCCCCCAAGCCATGAAGAAACCAGATGACAAGCCCGCAGGAGGTCGAGCTCAGCGAGCGAGAATGTCATAGCACCGGGAACACCAAGACCGGCGGAGAGGCGGGAAAACTTGAGGACGTCGGACAGTGAACTAGCTTGGCAAATCGCGCGTATGGGCTTTTTCTTTCCTCCTGGCTCTGTCGCGCATGAGGCCTAAGGCGCGTCATGTCCATCGCTCGTTGCTCTGATTCGTGTCGCGAGGAAGCAAGCCATGTATCGTGGAGACGGAGACAAACAGACAGAGAGAGAGAGATGATGTCGCGACAATTTTGCCTTTCCCCCTACTGCACAGTAATCCTTTCCACTTGCCACGCCCCCCCCCTTTTCCTTTCGTTCTTTGCCCTGATTGTCAATCGTGGTCCTCATTTTGTTTCTCCGCCAGTCTTACCGCATGACGCCGGTGATTTTGGAGGCTGGCTCGTGTACCTCCCTAGGCCTGCCTTCCATCCTCCGACCCCATACCGAACTAATCAAGCGCTCTTCCTCCCTCTCACCTACCGGTGTGCCTCTTTTCCTTCTCCATCACACCCGTAGGAGCAACGAAGCTAGAGAAGAGAGCAATCCACACGCCCTGGATCTGGCCTCGACTAGCCGGGGTATGTAGTAAGGCAACCAGTCCCATGGAGAGGGATTGAGAGAGAGGAAAAGAGACATCAATACCTAGAGAAACCCAAATCCACCAAACGACGCCGTCTCGAAAAATCAAGGGGGCGCCCGCTAGGACAATATGCGCCATTTGCCAACATGAAAGACCCAAAAGGGCACAGAAACGCTACAACCGTCCGCTAGACACGTCTCCCATACCAAATCAACGCACTAGAAGGGCAAGGGACGGACAATCCATCACAAGCCAGAAACACCCTGGGCTGGGGGTGTCTTTGAGTGCTACTTGCCCGTGTGGGAAAGCCCACGCCAGAAAGACGCCCAACATCCAGCGCCAACACCAACACCAACACCAGCACCAGCACCAGCACCAGTCATCGGCCGACGGCGTGAGCGTTGGAAGGGGACCCGGGGGAAATGCCAGCCATCAAAGGAGAAACGAAGGAATTTTGGTATGAGACGAACAAAGTTCAGTATCTGTCGAGCACATTCTTGGGGGAAGGAGATAGTACCGCCGTTTGTAGGTCTCGCCAGCGAACCTGTCATCCTATGACGTTGACCTATCACGGAGTCGACTCCGGAAGTGAAGGCCGCCAACTGTGCCCAAACGACGATGGAAGCTACTTGACAGGGCAAATGTCAAAGAGCGGGAGGCGGATGAGGCACGACGGCCAAAATGCCGACGACTGACGGTATGGAACAATTTGTCATGTTGCTCCTTCTTACACCCCCTGAATAATCCAACTGAGAGGACTCGAGGACTCGGGAGGCTTGCAAACAACCAACCCCCCACCAAGTACGCAATGCGTCTTTTCTCTTTCTCCGCTTCAAACTCATCCAACTCCCCCCTCCCGCGCCTCCCGTAACTGGAGTTGATTCCAAAGATTACCAATTTTGATACGAACGTGCGCAATGTCACAAGGAGGGGGCGCGAAGGGACGGTCAAGTACCCGACAAGGCAAGGCAAATCTTACCCATTGGGAACAACAGCCCTTTCCTTCTCCATCCTTTAACACTCCGCTCTCCCAGTCGTCGCATCCGATACGCCATACGCAAGCGTATCAGATGAGGGAATTGCACGGAGAAAATAACAGTAGATAGAGAGCAAGTCAAAGAGAAGATCAGCGTCTTGTCCGCACTGCCACCGGGTGTCCTCGGATGGCATCGACGAAAAAGATCTCCGAACCTAGCGCGGCGGGGAAAGGGGAGCGGGGGGAGGGGGGACAGAAACGTAAGGAGGTACCGAAGGCAGCACATAGGTAGACCATGGCAAGCATGGGATGAGGATGGGAGGTACCAATGGGCAAGGGAGTGAAGGGGGGCCGAGAAGGGAACCCTGCCCCGGATAGCCCATCTCTCTCTCTCTCTCTCCGGTCACTTCGTTGACCCTACGAATACATCGCTCCCGCCGCCGTCCCTCATCCGCCACCGTACTGAAGAACAGACCACAAGGAAATCAAGACCGACAGAGCCTCTTGAAGGCTTTCTAGAGGGAAACGACGTGACCCCACAAGACGGAGATGCAGTAGCACGGGCTGGCACGAATCATTGAAATGCGCCACTACATGCGCTGTTGGAGGAAACGTGCTTGAGAATTTTCGGGTTAATTACCCAAGATCCCGTGTATTAGGCCGAGAAGGGGTAGAAAGCAGCGCCACGGAGAGAGAGGATGCTCGGGGTGTGTCTGGGTCTACCGCATCCAAAGTAGAGCCTGGGTCTGGACAAGCCTCGATGCCTCTCAATCCACCCTTCACCTGGCAGGTGTGGTGGGCTCTACCACAGGCCGTGTGTCTGAGAAGCAGGGTTTGTCACGTCTCGTTGGTTTTATTGCATTGGCAGAGTGGCTTGTCTCCTGTCCGCTGTTGCCGTGTTTGGATGAACGAATGTGCCGTCTTAAAACAGGCATGGATGGGTTTCTGCGGTGAGAACAGACACTGAAGGAGCAGAAGGGGTAAGGAGGTTACGGTGTTCCCAATTTGCCAATGTCCCAAAGAGACAGGTCCCAAGGATGGCTTCTCCTCGAGTCAGTGGGATGAGGAGGTCCTGCAGGCTGCTTATGCTGTTGGAAGGAGTGTATTCCGTGGTTGCGGATAGAGACGCTCCCTCCGCATGAGATGTTTGAGAGAGTGGGCCGGGGGCGAAAAGGCGGAACAAAGAGAAGCGCTCGTGAGGCGCGGAACGAGTGTGAAAGACGCCAATCTTTTGGGGGCCGTAGGTGACTCTCTCCATTCCCATCTCCATCTTCCCCTGTCTGTCTCTCTCTCTTTCAGAGTGTGCTCGGGCATCCCGCTGGGGAAGGGAGTGGCAGAGGAAGGGGAGGTGGGAGGTGGGAGGTGGGAGGGGGGGCGTTCGGCGATGAACAAGCGTCCGTGTGTGTGTGTGTGTGTGTGTGTGTGGGATCCGAGTTGTTACGATAGCCATCCTGTGCCTGTGCAAATGTGCCCATCTCTTCGTCCAAATACCAAATAGGTATCGTTACGGACGTTGTCGAGTAAGGCGAAAGGGAGAAAGCGCCACAGGTGAGAAAGTTTATTTCGGCGTGATGTCTTAGACCTGCCATGATGATTGGATACAGGGGAGATGAAGGCCTTGGGCGGTCTGAGACCCCTTGGTGGGTAGATTACGCATACGTAAGACTCTGTTGAGAGCCTGTAGGGATGAGTGAAAAGATCGTGGTCAAGGTTGAATACCATACCCACGTTCGATTCGTATTCATCCTTGCCAGGTGTTTGTGCCTCTTGTCTCAAGGTGTATTTATCGTTGCATTCGAAACCAGGCAGGGCTTGTGTTTTTGAACCCTTTGACTGGCGCGCCAAAAAATCAAGTGCTTCCATGTGTCTAGGCCCGATGAGGCATGATGGCAACTTTGGATGTGAATGTATCTTGTACAGCTGGGAGGAGCCAGCGAGCACGCACCGTGACTTCTGCGAGCGGGAGAGCTTCAGCTAGTCTGCCGTGGGCCGCAATGGCGAGAAACAGAGCGAGCCGTCAACCGATGCTGAAGAATCGCTAACTGAAAAGAGGCCGGGTCGACGTATGTGGCGCGCTGTGTACCCAAACTCTGTCGGGGACATTTTCATTTTACATAGTGATACGGATAGCTATGCTATCTTTGCAAAAAGTCGCGACTTGCAAGGAGGGAGCAGGGAGTCGGGGTACCAGATACCAGATGGAACCCGAGCCGACGCGCGTGTTTGGTTGGTCCTGGCCCCATTGCCATTTATCCCGACATTGAGACGAGGAGCAATGCCTCCAGACGTCCCGCGACAAGAGGCTGAGGGCGAGGCTTGCGTCATCTTCTCATCTTTGAAGGGAAAGCGGAGTCGTGAAGTTACAAAACCCGACTCGTTCGGATGAGTTTTGCTCGACCTGCATACGCGGCATGGAAGCTTCCCCGTCCCCCCAGAGGGAATTCTACGACCGCAGTCTCGGGACACTGTCGTGCGCCTTTTTTTTTTTCTTCTTCTTTGTTTCGCTGTGCCTCGAGCTTCTGCCACAATCCGATGTTTACAGTTTCCAAGCTCTTCCCGAAAAGGCGCGGCTTCAAGACAAGAGAAAAGGGAGTGTCCGTTTTACCTCCAAGGCTTAGCTTCCCCCTCCCTCGTTTGCCCACTTCCCAGCCAGGTACCTACCCGATGCCGTCCCAAGTGAAAGGGTCGACTATTGTCGCACCATGTCACCTCCCAGCTGGCGTTATTCTTTGTGCACCTTGGTGCGCACGAAAGCTCGGAGAAAAGCAAGGCTCCCCAATCGAATTCCCGTACGACCCGGGTCCAGGTGCTTGGGGCTCAGAAGGCGGCGAGACAGCAGCAATAAACAACGTGGTGTCCTGGTCGACGGATGATGTTCACAAGGATCGACGTAGCCCCGGTCGCGCGAGGCCCACCCGGGAATATGCAACCCAAAACCCCTTTTTCAACGACATTCAAGCGCGACTCGTACGATTCGATATCATCACCGCCGCCTTTTGAATGAGCGCATATCGCGGCTTAGCCCCGGATCGTGAACCAGAGTGCCTTACCGATGGATCAGTAACTTCTACCTCAGTATCGTTCTCGATGCCATCTTTGCTATCCAACGATGAGAATTGTCTCCCCTGTCCCGGCGTTGCTCTCCCGACAGTGGATAGTACTTGGTTATTAGTAACTCAGCAAAGTACGGATAGTATAACATCATTCATGATTCAAAGCACATGGGATAACGGCCATCAAGGACGCCAGTAATCTCGTTGGTGCCTGTCATAGTCTTTCGAGGCTTCGAGGTCGGGAAGCATCTCTCCATCCCCCTAGCGCGGGTGATTCCCTACCGGCGTCAAGCCGGTTGGGAAGACTGAGGAGGAGGAGTACCTATAGCAAGATGAAGAACTGTAATCCAATAGGAATGTAATTGTGAGAACTAGTGACGGCCTGCTAGTGATGAAGGGGTTGATGCTAATCGCATCACACACTCGGCTTAAGCACCGGTCGCTGCAACTTCTCTGGCGTACACTATCGGGCTTTCCAATCGTGTGTTTCTTGCATCGCAACTAGCGAGGGCTTTGGCACCGCGGATAGCATGGTAGAGTACTCATCCGTCACTATCCTTTCTAGAGATCGTCGAGGACAAAGAAGACCGCCAACTGGGTGGCAGGCCCTCGTTGTTCAAGTACGATGGTGTTGCCTTTATCCGCGGGAGCTATTGTAAAGCAGCTTTAGTGCTGAGAATCAAGCCAGGATGCAATAGTAGTGGGGTGAAGATGTCACCAATGTAGCCTGCTACTATGGCCGTGTTTTCGGATACCTACTGTATCGTCGCCTCGTTTCCCAAGCTTTTTGAACCCCCTGGCGGCACTATGGGTAGCGGCGGCATTCGGATCTCTACACTGTCTGGCCATGCGATTCGGATGCCACTGGTCCAGTGCTAGGTAGGTTGACCACTTGAAGAAGTTTCGGTGCTATCCGGCAGCCCCAGCCGTTGCACCAGAACCAAAGACAGCCGTAGGCTGGTTGCCGGGACGAATGCAACTTGCCGACTGATAGATTACACGCTCGCACGGACAACGTTCACTGACAAGATCGACCTCTTGTTGGGATGAATAACTAGCTTCGTAAACATCCAGGCGGTTTCAACGGGCATAAGCTCAAAGCTCGTATTTGACCCGTGTCGCGTTCTGTGTGTTGGTCATTAGCCGTCGATAAAAGTTTCTCCACTCGGGGGTGGACATCGTCTGGATGAAGCTTTCGCCGCGACAGTGGCCATCATCCTGCCAGGGGAAGCACCCATGAACTCGGATCTGAAAACCAAATGCAAAGGAGAGCAAGGTTGGGCATACATGGAGTGGTATCATCCGATGTTTCTTCTTGAGTTCGACTCACGGTGGTACAGTTCTTCGCAAAGGTACGCGCGGTTGTAGGAAGAAAGCTCATTCGAGGTCACCCAGCACAAGCATTATCGATGCTCTTTCGACTGGTGATCCGGGGATCATGAGCATCTCTCGAGAACCATGATTTGCGTTGGCTCGCAGGGTGACCGCAGGAAAAATTGCCGCGCATACACTCTGGACTCTCTGGACTAGCCGGACCTTGTCAGGTATTGGCGAATGCAAATCATCGACAATGGGAAACGCGACCACGTCTCTTCGCCAGCGAGAGCCCTGGCGAGAGCAGGTTTCAACTGCCCAAGCCCCTCTCATCTTTCATTGCTGCGGTTAGTTTGAGGGGCCCTGGTCTGGCACATCGAGGCTTAGAGAGATGCCAGAGGGAACAGGATGTCTAAGCCACGGACAGAGTTCTGGTCAAGCCGGAAGTGGAAATGCAGCTTTGACCCAAGTATGCCCTTTCTTCGGAAAAGGCGGCACGTACGTGTAGTCTTTTCTTTTAGAGACTGTAAACGCGAGGTTGGTACGTATGCTGAGGCTCAAATCAAAGTCCTAAAGCATGCCGCAACTTCACAGGCAGATTTCGCGGATTGAGTAGCGAGGCCGATCTAAGCCGACACCAATGCAACTAGGCCGTCAACCTGCCCGCAGCTGGAGCTCATCATGTGCCATGCAGTTGAGCATGAATTGCCGCATTTGATTGGACATGGCCCAAAAGCGGATGGCCACAGCACACAGAATGCGCCCTTGATACTCGGAACACGTCGTGCTTGGTTTCTCGGTTGCCCTCCATACGCTAGACGCAGAAACAATCCAGCTCACCCGGGAATGTGGTTAGTCGGCTGAATGATTACTTGGCTTGTTTGATACTACGGTACTGCGCAACCGATCTTCGATTGATGCTCTTTCAGACTCGGTTTTCGATGCTTATGGCGGAGCTGCAAGTTTCTTCAGTGATCATCATTGCTCGTAGCTCGCTCTTTCGCGCTCAGGGAGCGTCTTCGGGTCGATCAGTGACAGGCAAAGAAACCAGCCGATCGGCAGGGCAAAAATCCCCGGTCAAGCGTGAGATGAGCGCGCTTCCAAGCCACTGCTAAAAGGCCGCGAGTCAGGCACCGAGGTGATGGAGGTGTCGATGCAGAAGAAAATCCACAGGAAGGCCAGTTACGGCAGTGAGGCAATCATTGACAGTGAAAGAAATGCTGTTGAGGCTGGAGGATGTTGGTGCTCATATCATGCATGCTGTGGGAATCGCATCGATTGGAGTTTACTCAGGCCTCCCCGCGATACAACAAAGGCTGTTTTCGTAACGACTTAGAATATTGGCCGCGCCTCCAGTACGATGCATCCTCTACATGGCAGGCTCACCAAAGAAGTTCGACTATCGCGGGGGATCGCTGAACTAGTTAGCTGCCGTAAGTGGTGTATAATTGTGGTGCAATCGCCGCACGCGTCAGGTAACAGCTGGAGCGTCCAGTGTCAGTTTCTCCATGTTGTGCATGGGACGTTTTGCAGCGAGGACAGCACCGTCGGCTGCAAGGGAGAACTGGGTTGTGGGGTGCGGTCCTCGATGGCCCTTTCGCCTAGACCAGGCCGGATAGCGGAAAGGAATCTGCTCCCCTCGTGGAATTCGCGCGATGATACATCACAAAATGGAACCTCAGTGCGCAAGCATGCATCGCGAACGAGGCGGAATGGCCCAATGAGGATAGCCGAGTGTCGAGGGCCGCCTTGCCTGAGAGACTATCGAGTATCAACGTCTGTCTGGGGTGGACACATGATATGCGCATCGTGTGTAAGCCCTGTCTGGATCCGTGATGAAGATTATCAGGTACTAGGTATCCGGTATGTAGCGGACAGCTGAAGCAGTGGATCCGAGGCAGGAGGACGATCTTCATGTCCATGTGAACCATTGCGAGGAAAATTGGCCCACGGCAACTGGGGGGGAGATGGGAAAATCGACTTTCCCACTCCTGCTCCCGCCGGTCGACTGAGCGTCTTTTCGCCTCCTCGCCTCGTACCTCCACTTGGGGGCTCCGCTGCCGGCCGTGTTTCTCGGAATCTGGCACGTCCGACCTCGACTGTTCCCGTATACACACGGATGCTGATAGGCGCGGCGTAAGCAGCGGAGCCATTGTGATAGGTGCTTCGATATGCTGCCTAGAGCTGGGAACCGTTTTTTTTTTTTTTTTTTTTTTTTTAGTTTTCCCCTTCCTTCCCCCCCCCCCCCCCCGGGGGGCGGGCCGGGGGGGGGGTGTTTTTGTTTTGGGTTTTTTTTTTTGTTTCCTTCTGTCGGGCCCCGTTTGTTTTTTTTTTTTTTTTTTTTCAATCTTCCGCTTCGTTCCCTCTCTCTCTCCCGTAGGGCAGACGTCTCACCCGTCCGGCTCTAGCGGGTATGCACGGCCTTCCCACGCTCTCCTCTTTCGTCCCTTCACCGCTAACTCGCCCTGATCCGACCAGAGAGGCATGCGGCAACGGCTTTGATGGCCTGCTTCCTGTCCACATGCGCATGTCTCCTTGGCCGTGGTCCGGGCACCGCTTCTGACCGTCCTCACTTGCCGCTGCGGATGTGTGATACTCGAAATAAGCCGTTTTCCCAGCATCCAGGTTGCACTCTATCCATGAGTGTTACCTAAGGACATGCAGCTCGTACCGATTTCAATCACAGTGCCAATATCGATAACTTATTCACTGTATCCTGAGCCAGCGCATCCCACCCCCACCCTAGTCTGACCAGGGAAATGAAGCATCCTTGCGCGTTGGGGGCTTGAAATTGGCGGCACTCTGCTTGACACCATCGGGACCTGCCAGGAAGTCGACGACACCTCCGAGGGGGACTGACCGCTTGGTGGCCTCATGACTTCATTCACCAGGGGTGCCATATGCCATTGTTGCATAATGTCCCTGATGTTCTGGCCTTGCGGAATTTCAAGCGGCATGTGAGACGTATCGGCCAGAGCAGCTCATCAACTGGGGATCATTGTCGGCGGCCGAATAGCTCGAAAGAGGCGCCTTTCCGGTTTGGTTCCTGAACCTTGGCAATGATTCCATCATCATTAGCGGCACTTGAGGCGTCCGTCCCTTCTGCCCTAGCTGCAAAAGCCTCGAAGCGTTGGCGAGAGGTAGTCAGGTCCTCAGGAACATATGTCTCAGACAAGCCATGAAACTTGCTTCCTGGCCTTGCCGGAAAGGGTGCTGGCACCAGCTCATTACGGTGATCCATATCCATCAATTGATCCCTTGGTGCACGGGACCTGTTCTTTCGAGAGCAGCGCTATGCAGACTGCGATGGACTTGGCATGCTGCATGGCTCTCCCATTCGAATTGCGGTGGCATCGCATCACCATTGGACGAGGCCGTGCACACCTTCCCTCCCGTGCTGCGAGATGGATTCAAACAAGAATGACCTGTGTAGCTGGCCAGACATCGGTTGGGAGAAGACGGCCGAGGGCGAAAGCTGAGAGCTTCGGTGGGCAGCATTCAACCGC